GGTGCGGGAACCCTTCGGCAGGGATCAGCTTTCACAGAATGTCCATGCCCTGGTCTCCTTCCGGCGGTTGCCGGCAGAGGGGTCCCTGGGCAGCAGTGGGGTAGGTGGTACCCCAGATAGGGTGGGCAGAGGACAAGGGTCCTGGGCACAGGTGAGAGATTCTGGGTTGTCCACCCTACCCATTGTGGCTGTACCTCCACCTGCATGCCTGGGGCCCCTCTCTGAACCCTAGAAGGAGCTACCTGAGGCTAACAGCCGAGGAGGGGTCCGGCACACTCGCCTGGGGAACCCGTACTGCTCGCCCACGCTGGTGCGCAAGAAGGCCATCCGCAGCAAGGTGATCCGCTCTGGGGCCTACCGAGGCTGCACCTATGAGACACAGCTACAGCTGTCGGCTCGGGAGGCCTGTGAGTTGCACCTGTGCCAGGCAGAGAGGATGGACATGTTCCTGCAAAGCTGGGGTGGCACCTCTGGGTGGCCATGCACGAGTGCATCTGCCCGGGTGGGAGAGGATATGGAGGGGGGCTAGTTGCTAGGGGAGGGCCCCTGACTCTAGGTGGTCTCTATCACAGTTCCTGCCGCATGGGAGGCGTGGCCCCGAGTTCCTGGAGGCCCGGCAGCATGCCTGGTAGAGGGTGAGGGTAGCCTGACAGAGAACATTTGGGCCTTCGCCGGCCTTTCCAGGTAAGAAGGACCTGACCTGGCCATTACCCAGTCCCTTGAGATAATCAGAAAAATGGGAGGGGGCCTCCCCAGGGTCCTTCATGTGTGCACCCCTGTGCATGCACAGAGTACTCCCAGCCACAGTGGCCTTAGGCTAGGGACTTGTCAGTGTCCAATGTAAAAGAGAGATAATGAAGGGACCGTCTTTACAAGGTGAGGAGAGGATCAAATTGTGAGATCCAGGTAGAAGCCTCAGTGCCTGGCCTGTCTCAGGGCCAGCTGTCTCAGCGTCAGACCTTCAAACCTCTGTCCTGACCAGTGCAAGCTGTTCTTAAACTTGTAATCCCAAGGGCTGACACTACAGGTGTGAGCCACCATGCTTTGTTCTTGTGTAGCGTTGGGGGCATGTACCAAATCCTCAGGCAACCTCCATGCTGTTGGGCCTGCCATGAGACTGGGGCCAGATGAATCCAACTCCAGCTTCTTTCTCTGTGCCCCAGGTCCTGTGCTCTGGCCCTACTGAGGAGAGACGTGCTTGGGTCCTTCCTGTTGTGGCCTGAACTGGGTACCAGTGACCAGTGGTGCCTATCGGTGCGAACACAATGTGGCGTGGTGCCCCACCAGGTCTTCCGTAATCACATGGGCCGCTACTGCGTGGAGGTAAGTCAAGGCTGGCAAAAGACCTACTGAGTCAGCCCTTTCATTGGCTTCTTGCCATTTATGCCCTGCCTTTCTCTGACCCCTGCGCTCTGATGAGCCCACCTCACTTTCACCTCAGTTCCCCCATTGGGTCTCTCCAGCACTGCCTCTTGCTCATTCTCCATCCTCTCCTTCCTCATTGGCCCTTCTGGCTCCACCTGTGCTCTGCTGGCTGTGCCTTCACCTTAAGGCTGCTGTAGGACAGAGATGTCCACCTCTCCAGAGCTGTCTTTCAGAGGTTACCTTTAGTACTGTTGGACCAAGGTGACACCACCTATTTCCATAAAGATCTTGCTTTTAAAAGTCCATACCCTCCATCATCTTTAGCAAATGGAAGGAACTGACTCGAGGGCAGGGTTTGCCTGTGCTCACATAGCCTGATTCTCAGGGTCCAGAATTGTCCTGCGCATGGGTTTCTAGGCACCTAGCTGAGATGGCAGGCCTCCACGTGTGTGCCCTTACTTCGAAGCTGAATGTTTCTGTGGTGTCTGACTCTGTTAGCATGTGTGATCTCTCAACTCTTCCAGCTCTCCAAAAGGAGCAAGCACCTATGCCAGGGGGGAGGCGGAGGGGGAGATTAGTGCCTGGCTTGAGTCATGAGGAAGTGGCCTGGAGCTAACCATGGTCTCTTCTTCCTAGCACTTGCCAGCAGAGTTCCCTAGCCTGGAGGCCCTGGTGGAGAACCATTCTGGCATGGAGCGCAGCCTCTTCTGCCCCCTTGACATGGGCCGCCTGAACCCCACCTATGAGGAACAGGACTGTGGGCCTGAGGGCAGGCCCCCCCGGACCCTGCGGCCCCTTGGCCATGCCAAGTCAGAAGCAGAACTGCAAGGCCTGGGCTAGGAGGTGGTGCTCTCACACACAGGCCCTGCCTTGCCCTGGCCCCTGGGCCTCTGGCTGCTCTGCTCTTGTTGCATCCCACCAGTTCCATCTGGTCACTCCCTTGGCCAGCCTTGCATCACTTCAGTGCTATGGGAGGGGAGCCCAGGGATTGGAGATTACAGTGCTTTCTCATGGGACCCTTGACCAGCCGAGATTGTGGGAGGAGCAGGTAGAACTCCCCGTTTTCCAGTGACTGCTGCTGGCCATTGCTGGCCTCTCACGTTCCTCCTAGCAGGGAGCTCTCCACTATGGCTCAGCAGCCTTGATCATGGGTGCAGGTGCCTCCTGAGAGCTGATGGAAACCAGATGTGCTAGAAATACTTTCTGCCACCCTGGGGCTCACAGCCTCTGGCCATCCCCTGAGAAGGACCAGCAGTGAGCTGCCCTGCAGTCAGCTTGGTGGCTGCCTTGGGAAGCCACCTGATCCTGGCATCTCCCTTACAGTGCTGACTGGTTAGCAGGGTCCAGCCAGCCCAGCCCCTCTGGGAATGGGACAGAGTAGAAGTGTCCAGAGGTAGAACTGATGTGAGTGCAGCCAGTGGGGCCTCACCTCAGTAGGGGATGGGAAAAGGCAGTGGCTCTGCTGCTGACGGACACATCCAGCTGTTCCCCTTGGTAAGAATACCCGATTGAGTTACAGCACACGCCTAGTCATGAGTTTAGGGAATGAAGTGCATATCCTGGGTATTTAAAGTGACACAGAGGGCAGCCCCTACTCAGTAGCAAGAAGCAAGGCAAACCTAGGCATGATGGTGACTCCAGGAGTGTAGGGCCTACGGCTCCCGGTGTCTAGCCCCCATCAGGACATGGCAAGACTAGAGACCTCTTCATTTCCAATTTAGTGAGACATTGATGCAAAAGACTGAAAGCAGATGTCCTAGGTCTTTATGCCTAGCATTGACAGTACTGAATGGGGGGGGGCAGGCTGGGACTCAATCTGCTGCTCTCTGCTGGAGTCACCTCCTTGGATAGGACGCAGGTCTCAAGTGCACAGCCTGGCCTCACTCCCCTGCAGGAGTGGGGAGTTGTCATATACTGTAGTCTGGAGACAGTGCTTCAAGAAGCCTAGTGATGGGCCAAGTTAGGCTCCCGTTCAGCTCCAGGAGTGGTGAGTTTGTGGTGTGAGTTGTCCAGGTATACACATACTGAAGGGACCAGCTTGTCCCTGAGCTCTTTAACATTCCTTCAGAAAGCATTTATTGATCACACATCACAAACAAGGCATGGCTTGGGGCCCGTGTGTGTGGCTGCCTGTGTCTTAACCATAGCACTATGGGGGAGCCTGGTCCCCCTTTCTCTGTGGGAAATAAAGACAAATAAAATGCATCTCTCCAGACTGTGTACTGCAGAAGTTTCTTGGAAGGAAAGGCCTTCACCCCTTTTGCCTGCTTTCGCTGGTGTTTGCAGCTGATGAAGAAGGCTGAGCCAGATAGTTCAGCATTCGAGAGGCCAGAATGGCCTAAAGGAATTGGGGTGAAGCTTTGCCCAAATCATACACATCTGCTTTAAGCCTCCAGTTTGGCAGGGAAGGGGGAATTTTTTTTTTTTTTTTTTGCCAGTCATGGGGCTTGAATTCTGGGCCTGGGCGCTGTCCCTCAGCTCTTCAGCTCAAGGCTAGCACTCTACCACTTGAGCCACAACAACCACTTCTGGCTTTTGTTTTTCCTGCTTATGTGGTGCTGAGGAATCGAACCCAGGGTCTCATGCATGCAAGGCAAGCGCTCTACCACTGAGCCACCTTCCCAGCCCCAGGAATTGTTTTCTGCAACATGCTACAGCCCTTTGCACAGCCCAGACAAGGACTCCTTTCTCTTCACCTAGCTAAACTCCTTAACCATCATATTTCAGCACCTATCAGATCTCTCCCTAGAACTAACTCTTTGTAGTTTGCTCTCACTTGTGGGATTTTTCAGTGCCAGTCTCCTTTTGTCAGCTTCTGACACAATGCACTCTGCAGAGGGAAGCCCAGGGCTGCCCTTCAGCCTGGAGATTTAGGGGTGCTTATACTTAGCCAGAGAAGGGCAGATGGCTTCAGCAGGCTTGTAAGGTTTTTACGTCATTGAAAACCTGAAGTCAGAAAAAAACGAAGGTGGCCTGGAGTAGCCTCACTCGACCTTTCTGTTAAGTCCCTGACCTTGCTGGAGGCCTCCTCTCCGGGTGGAGTCAAGCGTGGGCTTCCCCGCCAACGGGCACCGATGCCCATCGCTGAACCTCCAGCAGGGGCTGTGGGGACCAGGGGAGAGGACCGACGTGAAAGCATGCAGCACCTAGCCCGCCCAGCACCAGCCTCAATCCTGGACTCCCGGCGCCGAGAGCGCGCAGACGTTCTCCAGCGCCGCCCTGTGACGTCACGGGCGTTGCCGGGCAACGGCGAACGCCGTGACAGCGGGCTAGTGTGAGCGGGTTCGGGTCCTGCGGCGGCGCCTGCAGCCGGATCCCGCACTTCCCCGCCCGGGCCCGGCCTCAGGGACTGGCGAGCCCGGGCGCGGGAGGCGGCGGCGGCCCCGGCTCCCGTCTGGCGACTGGTGCGTGGCCCCCTGCCTCCTCCCGGGGGGGGCCTCCTGGAGAGGCCCATCCCCCCGCAGGGGCCACGCCCCTCCCCGAGGCCACGCCCCTCGCAGTGGCGCCGGCCCCGCCCCTAGGCCCGGGCGGCCCGGCCGCGCAGCTGGCTGCCCAGCCTCGGTGCCCACGTTGGTCGTCACGGAGGTATTGGTTTCCACATTGGTCCGCGCGCCGGGGGTCCCAGCTGTGGCGTCATGGCCTCTGAGTCCGTCAAAGTGGTGGTGCGCTGTCGCCCCATGAACCAGCGCGAGCGGGAGATGAACTGTCAGTCCGTGGTGACAGTGAACTGCGCCCGCGGCCAGTGCTTCATCCAGAACCCGGTCGCGGCCGACGAGCCCCCCAAGCAGTTCACCTTCGACGGCGCATACTACATGGATCACTTCACCGAACAGATCTACAATGAGATCGCCTACCCGCTGGTGGAGGTGAGGGCGCCGGCAGGGAAGGTGGCCTATGAGACTTCAGGCTTGGGGCTACCACAAAGGGCCTGCAGGAAGGTTGGCACTGCCACCCCCAATTGGGTGAGAAGGCTCTTGGGTGTGCGAGCACAGGTGGGTAGCAACAGGCTGGAGAACGCTGGACCCTGCCTGTAGTAGGCCTCTACTTTCACACTGAGCCCAAGGCCGGGCTGGTCCTCACACCCATCCCTTCTGTCTCCTTTCCCAAAGAACCCCAGCCCCGTGACCGAGGACCATAGACTCTCCACCCTAGAAGTACAGGACCTAGAAATTCCAGCCACTCCCCTCAGGCTCCTCCTCCAGGGTGCAGATCCTCTCCCCCATGGCACACTCCCCTCCAGGCCAGCCAGCTCCTAATAATATCAGGGAAACACCAATAGATGACTGCTGGCCTGGCTTTCTTGTGGAAGAATGGAAACCCTTTACCTTTGGTCTAATCAGGAAGCCAACAACAGGTGTTCCATTTATACAGCTTGTACTCTTAATGGCAGCTCATTTGTGTTTCCTATTAAGGAAGATACATTTCACACATGGGGACTCTGAGGCCCAAGCTTCCACATGGGTTTCTAACAGAGGTGCCACTGTGCAACACCTCATGTCTCTTCAACAAGGATTTTCCCTCTAGCATCTCTGCACAGGAAAAAAGGTTAGTTCAATGAGGTGCTGTGGTTGGTTGGTTCCACAAGAACTACTGACCACCTACTTTTTTTTTTTTTTTGTCGGTCTTGGGGCTTGAATTCTGGGCTTGGGCGCTGTCCCTGAGTTCTTCAGCTCAAGGCAAACACTCTACCGCTTGAGCCACAGTGCTACCTCCTGTTTTCTGGTAGTTCATTGGAGATAAGCGTCTCATGGACTTTCCTGCCCAGCCTGTCTTTGAACCACAATCCTCAGATCTCAGCCTTCTGAGTAGCTAGGTTCACAGGCATGAGCCACAGGGTACATGGCTTCTAATCATCTCCTTAGTGAGATATCTGAGGCTCTGAGAAGTCCCACAGTGAAGAAACCATTTTGACATTATATCCAACGTCTCCAAAACCCTTTACATGGGCACTTTCTATTTGGCTAACAAGCCAAGTAATGTCCTAATATCCTCAAGCACTCCCTTCAGTGGGCTCACATCTGCTGGCCTGGTCAAGGTTCATGTGTCCTGAAGGCCAGTGCTCTCAGGTGGTTAGGACATGACCAGAAATACCCACAGGAGAAGGAGAAGCTCCTCCATGGATGGCTGTGGCCCTAAGTAGACAGGTTGTCCATCTCCTGGCCTGGAGTCTCTGTAGAAGGGACAGAAGGGGTCATCTAATCCAGCCCTTCCTTCTATTATTGTAAGGAAACTCAGTCACCAGAAACAGAGAAGCCACCATTAAAAGGTCAAGTTATGAGTCTTTATTGGAGAGCCCAAGAACTCCTGGTGGACTCATGTCTCAAAGACCAGCAGCTCCAAATGCAGCTAGCTTATGTAGTCTAAGACCACACAAGGTGTAGAATCAAACCCAACACAAGTGTTATACATGAGCAAAGCAAACCAGATGAGGCCACCTACACCTAATAGAAAAGCAAACCATTTGGGAAACAATCAGGGGAAATCAAGTGTCAATTATCTAGGGGAGGCATAGACCCAGTCTCCTTTACTTCACTATTGGGTCCCTAAATGTCCACCAAATGGAGGACCAGTCTTGGCTGCATGTGACAGCAGTTTACACTTCCCAAAGCAGCCAGTTCCCTCCATCTTTGATGCTGGGCCCTAGAAGACCACCCTGCATGAGCCAAGGCCCTCCCCGAGCTTCCAACCATGCTCCTTGGCTCTGCCTCAGGGTCCCATGGAACTCTACTCCCTCTGTTCAGGGTTGGCCCCTTAGAGATCATATTGTGTTCTTCCTTCGCCTTGCCTCCTCTAGGGCTATCAGCCTTGCTCTTGGGGTACAATCTCGGTCCACTTCTCATCCTTGAAAAATACCCTGAGGAGGGAGACATTAAAGACACTAAAGACCCGCCCATTAGAGCTCTCCTCTGGCTCTCTCTTCTCTCTGGAGTTCTTGGGATCATATTTATTTGTGCATTCAGTTAACTAACTAAAGAGCATCCACAGCAGTTCCATCCTATACATGTGGAGTATGTGTCAGAGACATGGACTCTTGTCTGCCACAAGCTTGTGGTCAGAAGGAGCAACTAAGCTAAAAAGGGTGCAAGGTAGTGAGTCTGGGGAAATGCCTTCAGGACTTTGGCAGCATAAGGAAAGCCAGAAAACCTGGACTTGGGGAGCCAGGGGAGGGGCCAGAGGAAGGAAAGTCTAAGTGAAGGATGTTGGTTGTGCAAGAAGGTGGAAAAAAGGGTAGAGGCCAAGCCAGGCACCAGTGGCTCACACCTGTAATCTTAGCTATTCAGGAGGCTGAGATCTGAGGATCGTGGTTCAAAGCCAATCCTAGGCAAGAAGGGCCAGGAGACTCTTTTCTCCAATACACTACTAGAAAACCAGAAGTGCCGCTGTGGCTCAAGTGGTAGAGCGCTTGCCTTGAGCTGAAGAGTGCAGGGACAGCACCCAGGCCCAGAGTTTTAAGCCCCACAACCACCACCACCAACAAAACAAAACAAAAAACAAAAAAGATGTTAAAAAAAAGGGTAGAGGGCTGGGAAGGTGGCTCAGTGGTAGATCATTTGCCTTGCATGCATGAGGCCCTGGGTTCGATTCCTCAGTACCACATAAGCAGAAAATAAAAAATCCGGAAGTGGTGCTATGGCTCAAGTGGTAGAGCACTAGCCTTGAGCTGAAGAGCTGAGGGACAGCACCCAGGCCCAGAGTTCAGGCCCCATGACCGGACCCCCAAAAACAAAAAAAGGGTAGAGACCAGCGTGTGTAGCATCTGATCTTCATAAGAGAGTAGGAGCCATTATTCCTGATGGGGAAACTGAGGCCTGAAGAGTCATGGAAAAAGTCACGGACAGTTGTGATTCCCAGTGTCCAGTTCCCATGCTCAATTTTGTTGGCTCCCATTAAAGGCTACTATGCAAATTGCATGCAGAACATATGCACATTACACCCTCAGCTGACTGAGCAGGAGCTGATGCACCATTAGGCCCTAGAGCCAAAGGTGTGTATGTGTCTATTCTGCTTTCTGGTCAGGTATTGGGCCCTAGAGCAATGTCCAGAGAGCCTCTTTCCCAGGACCCTTGCTTCCGGTGCTTACTGCATAAAGCCCCCTGCATGACCACTTCCTGACCTTTCCTTTTCCTCCCCCACTTTCAAATCTAAGCTAACTTCCTGGTCTTCTTTTGCCCCTGAGTGATCTTTTAAAATCTCCCGAAGGCTTTCCTCCTCACACCTGCCCTTGCCTGACCCTGCCCTGAGCTCTCCTCCAGCCCCTTACCTGCCTGGGAGCTGCTTAACTAGTGGCTTTGCGATCCTCTCCTCCTGTCAACTCACACATCCAGAGTCTCCTCTGCCGATTCACCTCCAGTCACCCGGCAGCCACATACCAGGATGTCTGCCTCGTCCAGAGTGTAGAGGGTCACCAAGTGTCCAGACTAGAAGCTGCAGAATTGGTCCCTGGATGGGACATTTGAGAGGGGGCAGAAAAGGAGTTATGTGAGAATGTAGGGCAAATGTTTTTATCCAAAAAAGATGCATAGCACATCCAACCTTACTACTATGACCTGGGCACCACTGCTGAGGATGATGCCAAGTTCCAAGGACACGCCTTTTCCAGGCCGATGTGTCACTCTACATGCTCAAAGCCCTCGCTACCGTCTCTAGCACTGGAAGAAGTGAGAAAGAGGAAGAGTAGATTAACTTCATGAAAGCTGCTTACTAAATAATCACACACCTAGCCATGGCTAGACCAGGGTGGAAGTAGAGAGGGGCTGACCTGGGCCCTGCTCCCTGTATGTGCGTGACCCAGGGGGGCCGGGGTCAGTTACTGTGTCAGACTGTTTTTTTGTTGGTCATGGGGCCTGAACTCTGGTCCTGGGTGCTGCCCCTCAGCTCTTCAGCTCAAAGCGAGCAGCTTTTTCTGCTTATGTGGTGCTGAGGAATCCAGTGCAGGGCCTCATGCATGCAAGGCAAGCACTCTACCACTGAGCCACCTTCCCAGCCCCTGTGTCAGACTTTATATCTTTGTTTTGCCTTTGAAACACATATAAAATTGTTTTCTACTGAACTCCACATGGTCCTATAGAACATTCTAGAACAATGGAAATATTCTGTATCTACACTGACCCAGTAAATACCCACTAGCCACATGATGAATAACATTTGAAATGAGGTGCTGCTGAGGAACTAAAGTTTTTTTGGGGGTGTGTGTATACTGATACTGGGTCTTGAACTCAGGGCCTTACACTTTTGCCTGGCTTCCTTCTTTTTTTCTTTCTTTCTTTTTTCTCCCCCCCCCCTCTCTTTCTTTCTTTTCTTTTCTGTCTGTCATGGGGCCTGAACTCTGGGCTTGGGCACTGTCCCTGCGCTCTTCAGCTTAAGGCGAGCGCTCTACCACTTGAGCCACAGCAGCACTTCTGGTTTTCTAGTGGTTTATTGGAGATCAGAGTCTCATGGACTTTCCTGCCCAGGCTGGCTTTGAACCTTGATCCTCAGATCTCAGCCTCCTGAGTAGCTAGGATTACAGGTGTGAGCCACCGGCGCCTGGCTCTTTTCTTTCCTTCCTTCCTTTCTTTTTTTGGTGGTCATGGCACTTGGAGTCAGGGCCTCATTGTTGTCCCTTAGGTTTTGCACTTAAGGCTAGTACTTGAGCCACAGCTTCACTTCTAGTTTTTTTGCTGGTTATTTGGAGATAAGAATCTCTTGGATTTGTCTGCCTGGGCTGCTTTTGAACTGTGGTCCTCAGATCTCAGCCTCCTGTGTAGTTAGGGTTGCAGGCGTGAGCCCCAGCCCCGGCACAGCTTTTTTTTTTTTTTTGCGTCCGGTCATGGGGCCTGAACTCTGGGCCTGGGCGCTGTCCCTCAGCTCTTCAGCTCAAGGCTAGCGCTCTACCACTTGAGCCACAGTGCCACTTCTGGCTTTTTTCTTTTTGCTTATGTGGTGCTGAGGAATCGAACCCAGGGCCTCAGGCATGCAAGGCAAGCGCTCTACCACTGAGCCACCTTCCCAGCCCCACAGCATTTATGTTTATGTGGACTCCCGTCTTGTGCGTAGGTCACAGTGATGTGCCTGGGCAGTCGCATGTCATTCTAGGGCTTTGTGTGGCCCTCACACTCCTACCTTTATGTTTGAGAGCAGCCATGGGATCCTGGTTGGGTGATCTCTCTGTCCTTACTTCAGACCCCCGTCCACATGTGCGTCTCACCAACTGGGTGACCTGCTACAGAAACCCACACCGTGATCATGGTATCCTTGAATAAGGAAGTGCTGCCCACTCCCTTCTGCCCCAGAAAAGTGGGGACTTATCCTTTATGGGGGACTGTGCAGGGAAATTCTGGCCTTCATGTACCAACATCTCCTGGGGGCTTTGCCTGGCTATGTGCTTGGGGTCTTTGCAATGAAACTGGGCCCTTGGGACCAGGACGCAGGACCACCTCCACATTAAGTTTGAGAATTTGCCGGTGAGGTCAGGGACAGTTTCCATCTTTCTCCCCAGGCAGAACTTGGTGGCAGGCACAGAAAAGCCAGCCAGTTCCTAGTGAGTGAATAAATGTATCAGTGCATGAAGAATGAGTTTAGAAATGACACCTGCTTTGCTTCTAGTCTCCCTTCCCAGTCTCATCTTCCAACCCCAGGCCCCAGCTCTGCTCATACTTGTTTTCTCCTTTTGCCTTTGCTTAAGCTGTGCCCTCAGCCTGGAGTGCTTTCCTCTGTATGCCACTTCCAAACTGCTGTTTCAGCTCCCCAAGTTCTGCCCCAAGCTTACTCAGAAGGCTTTGCCTAGTTCTTCCCACACTACCCCCGTTCCCTCCTTTGTACTCTTCCTCTCTGCTGGTTGCTAGAACATCTGCCATGGTACCCCCACTTCCAGCACCCCCACATTTGTATAGTGAGCACCCGCCTGTGCCAACATATTGTGTACTGAGATTATGAAGCAGCTTTTGGAGGAAAACTGTTTTTCTTGTTGTTGGTTATGGGGCTTGAACTCAGGACCTGGGCGCAGAGCTCTTTCGCTTAACTAGCACTCTCACTTTGAACCACAGCACCACTTCTGGGTTTCGAGTGGTTAATTGGAGACTAGAGTCTCATGGGGACTTTTCTGCCCAGTCTGATTACAAACTGCTATCCCCAGATCTCTGCCTCCTGAGTAGCTAGGATTACAGGTATGAGCCACCAGTGCCCAGCTGGGAAAGCATTCTTATTCTTATAACAGATGAGGAAACTGAGGTTCAGTGTGCCCAAGCTCAGCCCGAGGCCACACAGTACATTAGAGAGAAGATTTGAGCTCAGGTGGTCAGGCGCCCAGCATAAGCTCTTCTTGCAGGGACAGTCTCCTTCCCTCCCAGATTGTGAACTACTTAAGAACACAGTATAACATTAGAAGCATGGCGCGGGTGGTAGAGCGCCAGCCAATGAATGAAAGTGTCAGATACAGAGTCTGAGTCCCGGGCTCAAAAAAAAAAAAAAGCACACAGCTGTACCAGCCTCCTTTCCACTCCTGCCCACCCCCAGCCAAGTGCCACTGGGGTGGGAGACCCAGGCAGGGGCCGGCATGTGTGTATCTGTGGGTAAGGAGGTTGCCCTTCCTCCTGGGTCTGGTCAGCTTTGGCTTCTTCCCACACAGGGCGTCACTGAGGGTTACAATGGCACCATCTTTGCGTACGGCCAGACGGGCAGTGGGAAATCCTTCACCATGCAGGGCCTGTCAGACCCACCATGCCAGAGAGGGATCATCCCCAGGGCCTTCGAGCACGTGTTTGAGAGCGTCCAGGTATGAGCCAGGGGGAGGGCTGGGGCAGGGCTGGTGCCACACTGATGGTCCCAGGAATGGGGAGGGGGATGGGCACTTGTGACCTGAGACATAGACCAAGGCACACATAGCCTTGTGTTTCTTTGGGACAAGCCAAGGGAGGAAGCACTGGTTTCTAGTAATTCTAGCTACCTAAAAGGCCGAGATCTGGAGGATCACAGCTCAAAGCCAGATTGGAGAGATAAGGCCTTGAGACTCCATTTCTAGTTAACCAGCAAAAAGCCAGGCTTGAGGCATGGCTCAACTGGTAGAGCACCAGCTGTGACCAAACAAGCTGTGTAAGATGAGACCTTAAAGTTTGAACCCAGTACCACAAAGAGAGAGAGAGAGAGAAAGAAAGAAAGAGAGAGAGAGAGACTGTGTGTATGTGGAGGGAGGGAGGAAGAGAGAAGTGGGGGGAGAGAGAGATACAAGCTGGGTGCTGGTGGCTCACACCTGTAATCCTAGCTCCTCAGGAAGCTGATATTTGAAAATCACAGTTCAGAGTCAGCCTAGGCAGGAGTCTGTGAGACTCTTATCTCCAATTGACCACCAGAAAGCCAAAAGTGGTGCAGTGGCTCAAAATGGTAGAGCACTAGCCTTGAACAAAAAAGCTCAGGGACAGAGCCTGTGCCATGAGTTCAAACTCTACATCTGACAAAAAAAAAAAAAAAGCAAAGCCAATTGAATTCTACCTACCGGCTCCATGTTTTAATTCACTGTTTTTGGATTTTAACATTCACTTAGCCTTTCCTCTGGATGTGACAATGCTGAGCCCTGTTCTTAGAATGGTTTCCCCTCTCTGGGACAATTCCGCCAGCCAGGCCCTGTTCGATGCCCTTTGTGTAATTGTCTTTCTGGACCCCAAAATACCCAACCCTCATTGGTGGTGACCCCCAGGTGACATACAGGAGCTATGAGAGCTGCTGGGGGTCTGCTCAGAGCCAGATCTTGGTCTAGGTGATAATCGCCAGGCCTGTGGCCTCAGTTTCTCTGAGTAATGGGGAGTAACGGGGAAGCCGCTTTCCCTTCTTCATGAGCTGGAAGGCAGAGTGGGAGGCACCAGTGGGCCTACCAGGCCTGAAGGGGAGTTTGTCCAGAAGAACCCTGTGGCCCTCACCATCCCCCTTCCCCCCGATGTCCCTGCTGTAGGGGGTTCAGGCCTGGCAACAGTGGGGGTGGTATTCGCGGTGTGTCTGCACGGTCTATCTGCTTCCACAGTGTGCCGAAAACACCAAGTTTCTGGTTCGAGCCTCCTACCTAGAGATCTACAATGAGGATGTCCGTGATCTGCTGGGAGTTGACACCAAGCAGAAGCTGGAGGTGGGTACAGACCCTGAGCAGGTGTGGGCCCCAAGTGGGCACAGGCAGGTGGGCCAGCTGAGGGAGGATGGCATCAGGTGGCTATCCCTCAGAAATGGGGAGGTATGCATCCTGGTGGCACAGGGGCAGCTTCTGACCATGAACTTTAGGGGTATCCTGGGTGTTTACGATGTGGGGGAGGGGTGAGTGGGCCTCATGGACTGCACGATGGAGCCAGATCTCACCCTGGGCAAAGCTGTGTCTACCTGCTGAGGCAGAAGGAATTGGGAAGGAATTAGAGGGTAGGTGGGTGGGTACACACACACACACACACACACACACACACACACACACACACACACGTCTTGGGCTTGAACGCGGGATCTGAGTGCTGTCCCAGATCTTTTTTGTTCAAGGAGAGCACTCTATCACTTGAGTCACAGCTCCACATCCAACTTTTGTGTGTGTGTGTGTGTGTGGTTAATTAGAGATGAGAGTCTCAACAGGCTTTCCTTCCCAGGCTGGCTTTGAACTGTGATCCTCAGATGTCAGCCTCCTGAGGAGTTAGGATTACAGGTGTGAGCCACCAGCACCTAGCTCATCAGCCAGGGTGGTCCCTATTAGATGCTTACTGTGTACTGGCTGATTTAGGTATAATCTGTTCGTGTGTCCAAGGTCCACCCTGAGTCAGGTGCCAAACTTGAACTTGAACCAGAGCTGGCGACTTGATCATAAACATCTCATTTTACTTCTGCCAAGCTCAGACTTGGGAACCTTGTTCCTATTTGTAAGGGGACCAGGTACTTCAGACGCTGCCTTGTAGGTTCTGGCGAGGACCAGGAGGGCACAGAGGGCAGCCCTCTAGGCAGCACTGGCTCCATGCAGGAGCTCTTTTGATGCTTTGGGGACACAGAGAAAGGACAGAGACCCCGACAAGGTCTCCAGGCAGAGTCCTCAGAGGACAGATGGAGGACAGCTGACGGCTCATGACAGGGATTGCAAGGGTTAGCTTCATCAGTGAGCCCTGCAGACATTTCACAAATTGCCCTTGGTCTCCTCAAAGTTTAGACTCGGGACGAAGGAGTATCCTCTCAAAGCAATGGGGAGCGCAGCTGGACTGTGTGAAGACAGGCAGAACCAGACGGACATTTTGGGCAGCCCAGCAAGATCAAGACAGCTACCAGTCTGTCTGGGTGTGGTGGTGCACACCTGTAATCCCAGCAGTTGGGAGGCAGCAGCAAGAAGACTGAGAGTCAGATGGGGCTACATAACCAGGCCCTGTCAAAGAAAGAAAGAGAAGGGAGAGAGGGAGAGAGAAGGGAGGGTTAGAAGGAGGGGAAAGGGGAAGGGAGAAAATAGACCTGCCAGGAGCGGACAGCCAGTGTGAGTGGCCAGGCTGGACTCTCAGCTGGCACCCCTGGGCCTGGGCCTTGGTAAGAGGCACTGGTCATTTCTCCTGACTAGGTCTCTTTACGTGCTGCATGGGCATGGTCTGGTCCAAAGAGAAGAGTCCAGTGGAGGATGCTGGTGCCTATCTGTGGCCTCGATGCTGGTGGTCTGCCTTATTCCTCCTCCAGCTCTGGGGCTGCTTATCCGACCCCCACCCCTCCTAGCACCCTAGAAAGTCAGTCACTCCAGATTCGGAGAAGGGAGGCACAGCCAGCAGCTGACTCATTCATCAGATGCCAGTCCCTGCATCACTCCAGGCCTCAGAGAGTGACCTCTGCCTCTGGGCCCCCACAGTCTCCGTCCTCACACAGCGAGCGGGGCACAGACACAGCACTGCTTTGCCCTCTCCGTGCAGGAACTCTGCCACCCGCCTGGCGTTTCTCCTCGCCTCTCCTCGTGTACATGAGTCACAGCTCAGCTCCCAGCCCAGCGAGCAGCAGAGGAGGCGGGTGCCAGGCATCATGCCCACTTAGCAACGCTAGGAAACCACATCTGTGGTTCATCTAGAAGACTACATCTGCCGTTCATAGAACGTGCACCCACCTGACCTGGAGCAGCAGGGACCCCCACTGCTTCCCTGCCACCCCAGACCCAGGGAAGGCCTTGGTCCCAGGCCTTTGGTGAGCTGCTGCTCCAGAGGCTGCCAGTGGGGGTGCATTCCACCAAACACTGTGGGCGCCAGGCCTCTGACACACTCCCTCGTGGGTGACATGTTCTTAGCTGGGAACAGCCTGGAGGCCCTACAAACAGCCCAGGGCACAAAAGTCCATGGACTGGAGATGGATTTGAACATGGACCACATTCCCCTGCAACAGTTCCAAACCTGGGAACCTGATCAATGTTATCATTAGAGGCCATTAAATCAGCAAAGGGCCCAACAAGAGACTTGCCAAGGCCAGATGCACACCCCTCCCCCACCCAGACAAACACCATCCTAGAGCTCAGACCCCTCGAGGCATCTCCAGCATCTTGTCCCACCCCACGAGCAGGTACAGTGTGGGTGACTGCCCCTCCCCGTGGACTGTGGCCTGGTCTCTGCTCCTGTGTCCTCTTCCATCCCCGGCTGCATCTCTGCTGGTTGCTATAGCAACCCAGCTCTGTCCTCTTGCAGCCAAGATGAGCAGTTACCAAGGAACAGGCTCACAGCTGGCAGCCATCACTCGGTGCCTCCCTGGTGCCAGAGTTGGGGGTGGGGTGGGGAAGGAGAGGTGGCGGGGGTGGGGGGAGGTAGAAGAGCGGGGGCCCTCTGGGTGAGGGCTCATCTCCCGCGGTTGCCCAGGGCCAAGGCAGCTTCCTGTCTTCTTTCAGACCTGGCTCCCGAGCCCCACCAGGGACCTGAAGTGCTGCTGCTTCCATCCATTCCCTCCCTCAAGTAGAGCCACTGATCCCCATTTCACAGATGAGGGAGCTGAGGGCCCATCTGATCAAATAAGAAACTAACAGCATAGATGAAGCCTTGGGTGACCAGCCTTCCCCGGGGTTCACTGTGCACCGGGTGAGCCCTGGGTTCTGGGGATGGACAGCATCCAAGCAGGACACTCTGTGGGTGCCACGCGAGGTGCAGCCTCAGCACTCGGGGCTGGCACACAGCCACGTGTTTGCAGGTACTCCTGCTTGTCCTCAGTGCCCTTCCTCACCACCACCTCCACGCCAAGCTCAGCCCTTCCCTGGGTGGCGTTACACCTTCTACAGAATGCTCGGCACTCTCCACCTTGTCTCTGCTGCCTTCCATCATGCTGACCCCACTAATAGGCATGTGGCCTTCAGCAAGTCCCCTCACCCTTCCTGATCCACCCCATGGATCCCAGTCGTGCAGACTGAGTTGTTAGGACCCTGCACACCAAAGCCAGAAGCCTCACCCCCACCCCACAGGGCCCCAACTTGTCCCTCCTTCCCCCCCCCCCGGCCCCCAGCCTGGAACACCTCTGAGCCTCTGTGGCTTCAGCCAGCAGGGCCACTGGCAAACATCTGCTCTCCTAATTCATTCCACTCTTGCCAGAGGGCTCTTATTTCCTTGCACACTTGGAAAATATTGCTTTTCACAGCTCTCTCAGAGCCACAGGGCATCCTGGCCACCTGGGAAGTGCATGAGAGACATGGACCTCGCGTCAGGGCTGGGCTGGGGAGCTGAGGGCTTGCAGAAACCCTGGGCAGCGGATGGTGCCTGAGTGGAGGAGGTCCAGTAGTGTGGGCCATTCCCATTGCCTGGAGGAAGGCCATCTGAACGATGGAGAGAGAGCACTTAGAGCTCTTGGGACCAGAAGCTTCTAGACTGAAAACCATCTTCAGCCAGGAACAGGTGCTTGTACTTATATTCCTAGCTATTCAGGAAGCTGAGATCTAAGGATTACAGTCCAAAGCCATCCTGGATAGGAAACTCTATGATGTCCTTATCTCCAATGAAGCAGCAAAAAGCTGGAAGTAGAGCTGTGGTTCAAGTGGTAGAGGGTTAGCCTTGAGTGAAAAGCTAAGGGACAGCTAGATGCCAGTGGCTCACACCTACAATCTTAGCTACTCAGAAGGCTGACATCTGAGGATCACAGTTCAAAGCCAGTCTGGGCAGAAAAGTCCATGGCACTCTTATCTCCACCAAAGAATGGAGGTGTGGCTCAAGTGGTAGAGCACTAGCCTTGACCAGATGATAGGGCTCAGGGATAGCCCAGTATTGGCACCAAAATTAAAAAAAAAAAGGCTAAGAGACAGTGCGTTGGCTTTGAATCCAAGCTCTAGGACTGCCCCCCCTCAAAAAAACCTCACAACTTTGCAGTAATTATACTAACATCGATGATGGGTGGGGACAGTGCTGCATATTTTGGGGCACTGATTGTACTTTGGGCTTAGCATTGTAAGTCCTAATCTTATTGATTCCTTACCATGTTACCTATAAGACAGGTATCATCTTATGCCCATCTTACAGATGTGGAGGCTGAGTTTTGGGTTCAGTCACTGGCCCCAGATAGGTTTGCAGAGTGGGAAACAGGTGGTCACCTGTCCTGCAAGAGGACTGTGGAGGTCTGAATTGAACTGTTGTCTTGGGCTCCTTGGAGACAGGGGGCCCCACTGTCCATCCTTCCCCTTCCCCTTCCCCCCAGCTGAAGGAGCACCCAGAGAAAGGCGTGTACGTGAAGGGGCTGTCCATGCACACGGTGCACAGCGTGGCCCAGTGCGAGCACATCATGGAGATGGGCTGGAAGAACCGCTCGGTGGGTTACACGCTGATGAACAAGGACTCTTCGCGCTCTCACTCCATCTTCACCATCAGCATCGAGATCTATGCCGTGGGTATGCAGGCGGCGGTGGGTAGCTGGGCCCAACCCCTGGAGCCAGGTTTCTACCGGCCAGTCAAAACCCTGCTAGAGCTTGTGAGCACTGTGGGAAATGGGGAAGGGGTGCCCCCAGGGACTGCCTGGAGGGGGCAGACGGGTCTCCTGTGCTGGCTGTGCCCACTAGATGACAAAATGGACTTAATGAACATTTACTAGGTGCCAACCAAGCCACACACAGTAGCTCACTCTGTGTATGTGTGTGTGTGTGTGTGTGTGTGTGTGTGTGTGTGTGTGCACGTGCATGCATGCATACACATCCCAGTCCTAGGGCTTGAAATCAGGACTTTCACTCAAGTCTAGGTTTTACTACTTGAACCACTGCTCTACTTCCAGCTCTTTCTGCTTAATTCATTGGATATAAGAGTCTAATGGACTTTTCTGTCCAGACTGGCTTTGAACTGTGATCCTTAAATCTCAGCCTCAGCTAGGATTACAGGTATGAGCCAGTGCATCTAAACCCAGGACTCCAGCCAGTGTCTGGCTCTCCTGTGCCCAGCACCCAGGCTCTGCTCTGCTGTACAGCCCAGACTCTGCAGAACTGGCCTTGTTTTTTTTTTTTTGTGTCGGTTGTGGGGCTTTAACTCTGGGCCTGGACACTGTCCCTGAGCTCTTCAGCTCAAGACTAGTGCTCTACCATTTGAGCCACAGTGCCACTTCTGGCTTTTTCTGGTTATGTGGTGCTGAGGAATTGAACCCAGGGCCTCATGAATGCGACGCAAGCACTCTACCACTGAGCCACCTTCCCAGCCCCTACTGGCCTTGTTTTAGAGAAACTGGACTCCTGCTGGGAAAACCCAATGAAAATATGATGCCAGTTGACTTTATTCTTCCCAACAACCAGCTCTCGAGGAGAGCCAGCCAGCTGTAGTCTGCATTAGCGAGGTACATGGCTCTACCAATGTCACACAGCAAGAAGACAGATATGTCTTGGGAGTCAAGGCTACAGGTCTCCAAAGTAGATGCTTTTAAGGACATGATATCTTTTGCCTTTGGCCCCATGGGTCAGCTCCAAGGTCTGATCTTGAGTTTCCATCTGTGTATCCTTGGGTGAATTGTGCTCCATTTCTGAGCCTCCGTGTTCACATCTGTGAGATGGGTACCATGGCTGGGCTTCCTCCATGGGGCTCCTGTTTTGCTGAAATGAGGCTTTCGGTGGGTGGCGAGCACCTGGGACTTGGAGAGCTGCGCGAGCTTCTGTGGGGCTCACCCCGAAGCACCTTGCTTTGCTTGTCTGCAGATGAGAGGGGTAAGGACCATCTTCGTGCGGGGAAGCTGAACCTGGTGGACCTGGCAGGCAGCGAGAGGCAGTCCAAGACAGGGGCCACGGGGGAGCGGCTCAAGGAAGCCACCAAGATCAACCTGTCCCTGTCCGCGCTGGGCAATGTCATCTCTGCCCTGGTGGACGGGCGCTGCAAACACATCCCCTACCGAGACTCCAAGCTCACCCGCCTGCTGCAGGACTCGCTGGGCGGCAACACCAAGACGCTGATGGTGGCCTGCCTGTCCCCAGCCGACAACAACTACGACGAGACCCTCAGCACGCTGCGCTATGCCAACCGAGCCAAGAACATCAAGAACCAGCCTCGCATCAACGAAGACCCCAAGGAGGCGCTGCTCCGAGAGTATCAGGAGGAGATCAAGAGGCTGAGGGCCATCCTGGCCCAGCAGATGAGCCCCAGCACAGGTGGGACTGAAGGGGCGGGGCCTCCCCTCTCTTCCAACGCCCCTCCCTCCCAGCGGAGGCCAGCACCTCCTGTGAGCAGTGTGATGAGCAGCCCCGGGCCCTGCCCGGCCCCTGCCCAGCCCCGCCCCGCTCACTGCGCATCTGCCCTGTCTTCTCCCTATTTTCTGCCCCCAGTCTCTGTGGCAGCGTCGTGATCTTAGCGGCTGGCTGATTCACTTCCTCACATCCCACCCCGGCTCCTAACTAAGCAGCTTGTTACTGCGTCTGTCACGCCCAAACTTTGGGCTGTCATCTGGCAAGGGGGAGCCAGGCCTGGAATAGAGGCCTGCAGGACCTCCCCACCCAAGGGGCCTGGAGGCGCTCTGTTCAGTTCCTCTGCCTCTTGGAGTTAACCAGACTATTCATACTTCCGTCCATGGGCCCCTGATCATTCTACACCAACCTCTTTGTTGGCCTGTCCCCCGATCCCATCTATCCTCAATGACTCATTCACGTCTACCTTTCCATCTGTCTTCCCACCCACTCCATGACTTACCCATCACCTGCTCACGCATCTGCCCACCCGCCCACCCCCCTCCCTTCCTGCTCTCCACCCATCATTCCAGTCACCCAGCTGTCTATCCACTGATTCATCTTCTCTGCCCCTGGTACACATTCACCTCCCAGCCCCACCCCGGTCTGCCTATCCATCCAGAGGTCCCTGAACACCTCCTGTGTGTAGGCCGAGGCTGGGTGCTGGGGACAGTGACGGGTCAGACACTGCATCATGATCTGCTGAGGGAGCAGGACACTACAGAAACTACCACCTATGCAGAACAGAGGTTAGGACTGAGAGGAGGGCATGTCCAGGCAGGATGGGATGCAGCCAATGAGAAGGCTCTGAGGACTCATGATCAGGTCTGGTCTTAGCAGTGAGAGCTTTCTTGCTAAGATGATGTTTCTGCGGGCTGTCTGGGGGCGGGTGCAGGATGGTGAGCTAGAGGGTGGCCAGGGCAGCATGGAAGGGCATGCTGCACCTTCCTACTGACCTTCCTCCCCAGTCTGACCCTGCTCACCACCACCCTTGATAAGGGGAAGACAGACAGGAGAGGCCAGGGTTACCAGCTCTGCCCCAGGGTCTCCTCAGCCCTCGCAGTGGCCTGGTGCCCCTCCTTGCCAGTCCCTGGGTAAAGATCCTGGTTCTCAGAGGCAGCGGTTAAAAGCTGGGAGCTAGCTCACTTGCTGTGACCAGGGCTGCAGGGCCTTGGGGCTCCTCCTGGTATACTGTGTGTCTCTGACTTTCCCTTTGGCTCGGTGTGAAGCATTTGCCCCTTTTGCCCCCAGCCCTCCCCCACACCACCCCCCACCCCGTGCTGTCTCGCCCCTCCTCCAGGCAGGCCTCCCCATTTCTCTTAAGTGGCCCTTGTCAGTGAGAAATGCAGCTGTCAGGGCCGGGAATGTGGCTTAGTGGTAGAGTGCTTGCCTAGCATGCATGAAGCCCTGGGTTCCATTCCTCAGCACCACATACGCAGAAAAATCAGAAGTGGTGCTGTGGCTCAAGTGGTAGAGCGCTAGCCTTGAGCAAAAGAAGCTGAGGGACAGCGCCCAGGCCCTGAGTTTAAGCTCCAGGACTGGCCAAAAAAAGAAGTAATGCAGCTGTCTGGCCTCAGACTGGCCTTGTCCTCCTGACCCGGCTGGCCCTCCCACACCCTCGCTCCCTGGACACCCTCAGCCTCCATCTTCCTCTGGGCTCCCCAGCTTCCCCTGAAGATCCTCCCTTTCCCAGCCCCAGTACCCTGGCTGTTCCAGGGTTGCTTCTGTGTTCCCTTCTGCTCTCCGCCTGACTCCTGAGGCGCTTTGGGATCAGCCTCGTTTCCTTTCCACACTTCACTCTGCCTGTTCTCCCCATGACTCACTTTTTCGAGCCTAGTGGCTTCCCAGTGTAGACTCATGCCTGCCCCAGGGCCTTTGAACACTCTGCTCCCGGAGTCTGGAAAGTTCTTTCCCCAGATCTCTACATGCCTCTGTCCCTTACTTCAGATCTCTACTTTCATCTTGCCCCTACTCTAAGGCTGTGCTTGGTCACAGGACCGGAGGTGGATCCTCCCGTTTCCTCCTGCCCTACCTCAGCATCCTCCTGGTTTTGCGCTCGTGTTGCTTTCTCCACGGGACGCTCAGCGTAGATGTAGAATTTGCCCATTCTACAGTCTCCAGAAGCGCCGGCTGCCCCACACCGGCTTGTTGGGTGACTGAGTGACACCACCTTCTACGGAGCTGTGTCTGAATCGAATTCGACACTGTCACATCTTTTCTGAATATTCACATGGTTCTGATCTCTTCCCACCATGTGTGCCCGGCTCTGCACTACTCTTCTCTGTTTCCCTGCAGCCCTGCAGCCCAGCCAGGTGCCCTTGGTTGAGGAGAGACTGTTGCCACCCCCTGTAATCCAGCCCGACACAGAGGTGGAGAAGCAGCTGATCCGGGAGGTAAGAGCAGAGCCGCTGATGGGCAGGCTCGGTGGGCCTGGCTGGCTTTGAATCACAGTCCTCATATCTCAGCCTCCTGAATAGTTAGGGTTACAGGCGTGAGCCCCACCCCACCCCCCGGTACCCAGCATTGTCCCACCTTTAGTAGCGGAGAAAGCTGGGACTCCCTGAGATGCCAAGACTTACTGAAGGTCATACTAACCAAAGTGGGATTTGAACTCAGGTTCCTGACTCCACACCACAGTCTGAGTCACACCAGTGGGGAGAACACAAAGGGCTTTGGGGATACCCCAGAGACTCCCTCTCCTCAATACTGAACGCAAGGATCATGGTTGATGGCAGTACAGAGGCTTGGCTGCGTGAGTGGTCTGTGCAAAGGCCAGGTGGTCAGAGAAGAATGGATCTGTCCTCAGAGTTGCCACCAAGCCCACTATGGGCTGAGACCAGGGAGCCTATTTGATCTGTGGTCCATGTGGGGTTGTCCACTGGAGAAAAATGGTCACCCCCCATGGGGCCTCTGGGCTCTCACAGGTGTGTGTCCACCATCCCTGAAAGCAGCAGGGCAGAGATCCTCGCTCCTGTCTGGGCTTCATTCAGACTCCAGGCTTGGTTGGCTCTCAATGAGAAGCCTGATTCTGGGCTGCGTGGCTCTCCTGGGGTCTGGCTTGCGTGTGGCCTCTGACAGGCCGAGGGGGCTGAGGACTGGCTAGGGGCGGACCAGCTAATGCAATTTGGTCCTGGGAGCTCAGGTCTGGGGTAGGTCCAGTGTCCCAGGAGAGGAGAGCTGAGCTCAAGCCCACAGAAATGAGAGAAGTCACACTTTCAAGCTTCTGAGTGGGTGTAGACTTGCCTAGTGATGGTGGACTCAGGGTCACAAATTCCCCAGGCTGGACAAAGGGAGGTTTCCTCATTCCTGGGCAAGCCCTGGCTATCAGCAGGTGAGCACCACCGCCCCCTAGTGGTCACAAGGGAGAAGAGACAAAAAATGAAGCCAGAATGGCCGGGTTAGGGGGCATAGCTCAGTAGTGAGAACACATGTCTAGCATGCTTGAGGTCCTGGGTTCAATCCTCAGCATGATCAAAATTAAAAGGAAGGGATTTCCCCAGCAACATGAGCAGCCACTGAAGGAGCACAGTGAATGTGGCTGTGTGAATGGGCAGAGAGAGCGGAGGTGGGGACATGTGGGGGCTGATGGGATAAGGGTGAGCATCTGGGGGCTGGGAATGTGGCCTAATGGCAGAGTGCTTGCCCAGCATGCTTGAAGCCCTGAGTTCAATTCCTCAGTACCACATAAATAGAGAAAGCCAGAAGTGGTGCTGCGGCTCAGGTGATAGAGTACTAGCCTTGAGCAAAAGCAGCTCAGGTCAGTGTCCAGGCCCTGAGTTCGAGCCCCCCAGGACTGGGGGGGAGGGTATCTGGGGGTGCTGGTGGCCCACACCTCTAATCTTAGCTGCCCAGGAGGCTGAGATCTGAGGATCACAGTTTGAAGCCAGCGGAGGCAAAAATGACTACAAGACTCTGCCTCCAATTAACTAGGAAAAAGCTGGACTAGAGGTATGACTCATGTAGTAGAGAGTACTAGTTGTAAGCAAGAAAGCCAAACAAGAGTGAGAGGTTCTGAGTTCAAGGCCCAGTACCAACACACACACACACACACACACACACACACACACACACACACACACACCCCACACACACATATACAGAGTGCTACCACACAGATGGAGAAAATATTCTACTCTGTCATCAGTGCGTTAAGGGCTACCAGGTAAAAATGTATTTGTGGGTGAACAAAGGGGTTCAAGACACAGTGTTGTATGGAAAGAGTTTGCAAACAAACATATCTATCTATCTATCTATTCCATTAAAAATGCACAAAGAAAGCCAGGTGCTGGTGCCTAATGCCTAACGACCTCTCTGCCTCTCTGGCCTCTCTGCCAGTGAGCAGCTGCCAGCATGCCATGGGTCTCGAGTTATTCTCTTCTGTTGTCCGCAATGTGTGAATTACTGGAAGGCGCTACCCTCCCCATCTTCCCTCCCACCCAGGAGTACGAGGAGCGCCTGGCCCGGCTGAGGGCCGACTATGAGGCGGAGCAGGAGTCCCGGGCCAGGCTGGAGGAGGACATCACAGCCATGCGCAACTCGTACGACGTGAAGCTGTCCACGCTGGAGGAGAGCCTGCGGAAGGAGACAGGTGCGTGCCGCCTCCTCCCCCTGTAGTTACTGCCTGCAGAGGGCCCCGTGCACCCGACCCGCTTAGTTCCCACCTCACACCACAACCGCCCAGCCAGACAGGTACCACAGTTAGCCGGGTGGCACAGATGAGGAAACCAAGGCAACCTGGCATTGTCTTCACAGCTGGTAAAGTAGAGCCTGGGTTCCAAGTCTGTATGGTGGGGCCTGGCCCCGGGCCCGGCTCAAGGCACCTCTTGCTGTGGTGCCTGTCTGTTACCAAGGCAACCACATCCCGTAAAGACTCAGTCACAAGGAAGAGTGTTTACTTGTGTGGATGTTTCTGTCTTCTATTTGGCCTTTTAGGATGCTTTCCCATGGCTATGACTCAGATACCCTGTTGCAGAGAGGCTGGGCTGCCTACTGCCACCGGTAGTACGAGAACAGCCTGTCTGGTGCTGGTTGTAAGGATGAGTACTGGGGTCAGCGCTGCTTGTGGCCATCGCTGTGTGCCACACACTATAGGGGAGCTCTCCGTGCCCCCTTCTGAGCTCCCCCTTCCTGGGAGAAGCTACCAATTCCTCACATAACAGGTGGAGAAACTGAGGCTGGGTGAGGTCCAGGCCACTTAGGCAGAGGAGGTGCCATGCTTCAGTAAGGGGAAGCAGGACGCTCTGTCTCTGTCTCTATCTCTCTGTCTATCTCTCTGTCTGTCTGTCTCTGTCTTTCTGTCTGTCTGTCTGTCTGTCTCTCTCTCTCTCTCTCGGTCATGGGGCTTAAACTCTGGGCCTGGGCACTGTCCCTGAGCTCTTCAGCTCAAGGCAAGCACTCTAATTGGAGATAAAGAGTCTCACAAACTTCCCTGCCCAGTCTGGCTTTGAACTGTGATCCTCAGATCTCAGCCTCCTGAGTAGCTAGGATGACAGGCGTGAGCTATAGGCTCCCAGCTAAGCAGGACTCTCTTTAGGGGACCAGCAATGATGTGTGGAGGGGGTTTAGAGCCCCCGCCCACGTGAGGGGGAGGCTGCTCCTGACAGGCCCAGAGGAAGGAGAGGGCAGCTTTTAGCTTTCTGTGCTTCAGACTGTTGCTTACCATATGAATACTGGGCCTCCACTATTTAGTTACTGGAGTGCTGATGTGTTCCCACACGTGCTAACGTGAGTGAGTTCAGTTTCCATTTGGCATTGGGCACCCGGCATCCTCTGGGGCCGGGGTGCTGTCGCAGGGTCCCGGGCCCTCGGTGCTCAGCGTTGGGAGTCAGTGGGAGTGGAGGGGCAGCTGCTCCTGGGTGGAGTCTGGGCTCCGTGCTGGAAGGGAGGACTTCCCTGAAGAAGAGGAGGCAGGGTTTAGGCTCTGATGAGGAGTGAGCAGCGTGGGGATGGGGCACACTGGCTTTAGCTGGACTCTGCGTGCTCAAACTCTCCAGCTCAGACTGTGTACTCAGACTCCATTCTTGGAGATGGTGAGTTTGTGGCCACCTTTTTGGGAAGTGGTCCCACACCTGTCCCCTCTGAGATGCTGTAGGAGGTTCTCTGGCTCTGTGTCTGTCCATCTATCTGTGTCTTTCTCTCTCTTGTTCTTTCTTTCTTTTTTTTTTTTGGTCAGTCATGGGGCTTGAACTCTGGGCTTGGGCGCTGTCCCTGCACTCGTCAGCTCAAGGAGAGCGCTCTACCTCTTGAGCCCAGCACCATTTCTGGTTTTCTGAGTGGTTTATTGGAGATAAGACTCTCAGGGACTTTTCTGCCTGGGCTGACTTTGAACCTTGATCCTTAGATCTCAGCCTCCTGAGTAGCTAGGATTACAGACGTGAGCCACTGACGCCCAGCTTGTGTCTTTCTTTCTTTGTTCTGGTATCAGAGCTTGAACTCAGGACCCTCTATGCTGTCCTGTACCTTTTTTTTTGCTCCAGGCTAATGCTCTATCACTTGAGCTTCACCTCCACTTTTGGCTTTTTCCTGGTTAATTGGAGATAAGAGCCTTTCTTGCCTGTGCGGGCTTCAACCTTCAATCCTCCGATTTCAGCCTCCAGAGTAGCTAGGGTTACAGGTGTGAGTCACTGGTGCCCAGCCCTCCCCCCATCTATCTACATTTCTAGCTATCTGTCTAGCTGTTAGTCTATCTATCTATCTATCTATCTATCTATCTATCTATCTATCTATCTATCTATCTATCTATGTCTCTGCCTGTCTGTTTATCTAGCTGTGTCTTTCTGTCTGTCTCTGTCTGTCTGTCTGTCTCTATCTATGTCTCTGTCTTGCAGAAGCTGTCCTGAAGGCAGAAGTCCTTTACCCGGCTGAGGTCATGTCCAAGGCCGAGTTTGCCAGCAGGTCCGAGCATGCCCCGGCTGTGCAGTACGAGATGGTTATGAAGCCTGAGATCCTCTGCATGGCCGAATTGCTGCCCCCCGGGGAGTTCACCAAGGCCCAGGATTCCCCAGGGTTTGAAGAGCTGTCCCAAATGGAGCCCGCCAAGTCTGAGATTTCTTTTGGGTCCAACGAGTCCTCTATACTGGAAGACTCCTCCATGTCAGAGGCCTTCCCTGGGCCTGAGGAGCTTGCCAACGTGGAGTTTTCGGGGCCTGGGGTGGAGTCTGGGGGCAGGTACTTCCCAGAGGACTATCTTGGCCAGGAGGCCCAGGGGCCCTCGCTGGAGGGAGAGAATGACATGCAGGATGAGGAGGTGCCCATGGTGCCCCTGCAGGTGGCGTCAAATCTGCAGGACCCGCTTGTCCACCTGGAGGTCAAAATGGCCCAACTGTCCCCCACTGCGGCCGTGGGGGATGCAGCGCTGGCGGACATCACTGAAGACCCAGTGCAGGTAGCTGGGGCTCTGTGGGATGCAGGCAGAATGGAATGGGGCCTGGGGGCTATTGTGTGGACAGGATTTCTCCCTGTGTCTACTGTGGCTTTGACCTAGTGGCCAGCCTGGGGGCCTGGTATCCAGGGGTGTCTGGGGGAAAATTCTGGCCAATGCAGAGACATTGGGATGGAAATACGAAGCACCTACTCCACAAGTGGACACAGCCTGCGGGGGGGCTATCATGTGACTCGGGGCTCAGGCCTGAGGAGATCTGGGTCCTGGGACCCCTCCTGGGCTCACAGGCTCAGGGCAGTGAGCTTGGAGGATGTTATTGGGAACTCAGCTGCCTCTTTTAGGACCCTAGGTCCTAAGGTGCTGCTCCTCCCCCTTCCTTCTCTTTCTTTATGGTTTAAAGAAATGTTCTTCAGTCGGGTACTGGTGGCTCACACCTCTAATCCTAGCTACTCAGGAAGGCTGAGATCTGAGAATCATGGTTTGAAGCCAGCCCAGCAAAGAAATCTTATCTCTAATTTACCACCCAAAAAGCCAAAAGTTGCTCCAGTGGTAGAGTGCCAGCCTTGTGCAAAAACACTCAGGGAAAACTGAGTGTGGATACCTCACACCTGTAATCCTAGCCATGGAGGAGGCTAAGGTCTGAGGATCCTGCTTTGAAGCCAGCCCACGAAGGAAGGTCCTTGGATTCTTTTTTTTGGGGGGGGGGTCTGTCAGGTCATGGGGCCTAAACTCTGGGCCTGGGCGCTGTCCCTCAGCTCTTCAGCTCAAGGCTAGCGCTCTACCACTTGAGCCACAGGGCCACTTCCGGCTTTTTTTCTTTTTGCTTATGTGGTGCTGAGGAATCGAACCCAGGGCCTCAGGCATGCAAGGCAAGCGCTCGACCATTGAGCCAACTTCCCAGCCCCTTGAGATTCTTTAAGCAGAAAAAATGCCAGCACTGGAGCTGTGGTTCAAGTGGTAGAGTTTTAACACACACTTTTTTCCTTTCTTCCTGTCTTTTTCTCTGCCCTGGTCTCCTGAAGTCTCACGGGGAACTGAAGTAGAGCTCAGGGCAGGGAGGAGGGTGAGTTGAGGAGGATTCTGGCCTAAACCATCCTCCTCTCTCCTACCCTATCTTTCCCCAAGCCACTGCCCCTGATGGAGCCCAGTGACGCCAGGTCAGCAGCAGAGATGGCAGACTACGAATTCCCACCAACCACTGTGAGTTCCTCCCTGGCCTCCATGGTTGGTTGGACCATTAAACCTCCTGTCCCCTCCCTCTCTGGGTCTTGCCCTCCTGGTCCACCCTCCCCAGGCTAGTGGAACTCGGTCCCCAGGGGTCTTTGGACCTGAGGACTGACATGGTACTGTGTTAGGTGAGAATGAGGAGGATGGAGGCCTTTGGGCCCTGCGGGTACAGAGGACAGGGCTGCAGATCAGGCCTGGAGCCACTGCGTATCTATCTGCAAGGCTGTGTGACCACTTTACCCCTTTTAGGCCTTCAAAGAGGCAGAGCTAAGACCACTCATAGCCTGTGAACCTGGCACTGGGTGGGGATAGCATGCTGAGGGTTCTCAGTAGATAGTAGATGGAATGGATGAGAGGACCTGGCTAAGAAGGAAGGACCATGGGCTGGGAAGGTGGCTCAGTGGTAGAGCGCTTGCCTTGCATGCATGAGGCCCTGGGTTCAATTCCTCAGCACCACATAAGCAAAAAGAAAAAAAAGCCAGAAGTGGCACTGTGGCTCTAGTGGTAGAGCGCTAGCCTTGAGCTGAAGAGCTGAGGGACAACGCCCAGGCCCAGAGTTCAGGTCCCACGACCTGACCCCCAAAAAAAGGAAGGACCAAGTAGAACAGTACATATCGAGGTCCTGTGATCAGAGAGATCCTGACTTTCTCAGCAACAGAAGCATGGGTGGGTGGGTAGATAGGAGGTAAGGGGAGCTGGCAGGGCAGGAGAAACAGCTGGAGCTGCTGGAAAGTCCAAGAAATGGTTTCACTGTGTGCATGAACTGCACTGGTACCATGGCACTGCTGCGATTGGCTTACAGTTTGAAGAAAATTGCCCTGGATTACAGTGGGCAGGAGAAGAAGGAGATGGCTTGGGAGGGTCTGGTGGAAGTAGTGTCAGTGAGCATTTGTTTGAGCACCAATTTTTTTTTTTTTTGTCGGTCGTGGGGCTTGAACTCTGGGCCTGAGTGCTGTCCCTTAGCTCTTCAGCTCAAGGTGAGTGCTCTACCACTTGAGCTACAGTGCCACTTCCAGTTTTCTGGTGGTTTATTGGAGATAGGAGTCTCACGGTCTTTCCTGCCCGGGCTGGCTTTGAACCACGATCCTCAGATCTCATCCTCCTGAGTAGCTAGGATTACAGGCGTGAGCCACCAGCGCCCGGCTACCAATTTTTTTTTTTTTTAGTTATCAAGACAGTAAGTATCCTTAATGTGAAAATGATCTGATGTCCAAAATCGCTTTTTGGGGGTCCGGTCGTGGGGCCTGAACTCTAGGCCTGGGCACTGTCCCTCAGCTCTTTAGCTCAAGGCTAGAGCTCTACCACTTGAGCCACAGTGCCACTTCCAGCCTTTTTTTTCTTTTTGCTTATGTGGTGCTGAGAAATGGAACCCAGGTCCTCAGGCATGCAAGGCAAGTGCTCTACCACTGAGCCACCTTCCCAGCCCTTCAAAATCGCTTTTTGTGGGGGTGTTTTGGTTTGGTTTTGGTGCCAGTACTGGGCCTTGAACTCAGGGCCTCGGCACTGTTCTTTAGCTTTTTCACTCAAGGCTAGTGCTATATCACTTCAGCCACAGTTCGACTTCCAGGTTTTTGCTGGTTCATTGGAGATGAGTCTCATGGACTCTCCTGCCTGGGCTGGCTTGGAACCATAAATCCTCAGGGCTCAGCCTCCCGAGTAGCCAGGATTCCAGGTGTGAACCACCTGTGGGTGCCTCCAAAATGATTTGAGACCTGTGACATTCCCAAATGCTCCAGATTTCAGAGCATTTTGGATGGAGGATCCAAGGCAGGGGTCTTGGTGGACAGGAAGGGCCCTGGGGCACCACGGCCTCCTGACAATGAGGGCCTTCCCGCTGCAGCCTGGTTTCTCTCTATGTATCCAGGAGGCTGATCTGGCTCCGAACATAGTGGTGTGCACAGCAGAGACTGGTGTCTGGCTGGAGCCTGAGGTCCACGAGGCCCTGGAGTTCCAGCCCCGGCCCCGGCTGGCCACAGCAAGCCTCAGAAGGGAGAGCCTGGGCCTGAGTGGGGAGGAGGCCAAGCTGCCTGATGAAGTGCTACATGTGGTAGACCAGCAGCGGGTGCTGGCCCGGTGAGCATCAGAGCTTGAGCTGGCTGGCAAGGGGTGGAGGGTGGGGGGAGTAACGGGGCGGGGGGGAGTGGGAGGAGGCCGCCAAAGGGCAACAAGGAGCCATGGCCCAGGATAAGGGATGGGTGGATGGCTTGTGTTGTGTGTGTGTGTGTGTGTGTGTGTGCGTGCATGCGTGCGTGTGTGTGCGTGCATGCGTGTGCGCGTGCTTCCAGGGCCTGGGCACTGTCCCTGAGCTTTTTTGCTGAAGTCTAGTGCCCTACACTTGCGCCGTAGCTAGGATGACAGGCATGAGCCACCAGGGCCTGGCCCAAAACATTTTTGTGGGTCTTTATTAGACACTAGAAAGTTCCACAGAAGCCTCTGTCAATACTAACCTTAAATACCAAAGCTATAAAACATTGTGAACCTTGGGAGTTGTGTGTGTGTGTGTGTGTGTGTGTGTGTGTGTGTATGTGTGTGTATGCGCGCGTATCTACCAATACTGGGGCTTGAGCGAAGGGCCTGGGTGCTGTCCCTTAGCATTTGCACTTAAGGCTTTACTCTTCCACTTGAGCCACAGTTGCATTTCTGGTGGGTTAATTGAAGGTAAGAATCTCCCAGACTTTTCTGTTTGGGCTGGCTTCGAACTGCATTTCTCAGGTCCCAGCGTCCTGAATAGCTAGGATTACAGGCAAGAGCTGGGAGTCCTGGGCTAGGAGTCAGCTTTCTAAAATGCATCGCACATGTGCATTCAAACTGTCAGCCCACAGTGAGCTTTTTCAGTCTGGGTCTTGGAGCCCAGCCATAAGCCCACTCTGTGACAAGGGCTGTCATCCAGTATAGGGACAGGGTGGGAGCTGGGTTCTCACACTTCCTGGGACTGCGTGCACAGGCCTGTGGGTGGGGAGAATCTGGGGGAGCCCTTGTTCTTACCTTGAGCATTAACAGAGTTCTCTGGGCCTCTGTGTGCCGCTGTGAGAAGTGGCTTTGTGGGGAGGCACTGTCTGCGGGAAGGTGCTCAGGGGCTGGCTCTGTCCCTGTCACCCCCTGTGCCCGCCTGCAGCCTGCACCTGCTGGAGCAGCAGGTGGTGGGCGGAGAGCAGGCCAAGAACAAGGACCTGAAGGAGAAACACAAGCGGCGCAAGCGGTACGCAGATGAGCGCAAGAAGCAGCTAGTGGCCGCACTGCAGAACTCAGACGAGGACAGCGGGGACTGGGTGCTGCTCAACGTCTATGACTCCATCCAGGAGGAGGTGTGGGCCAAGAGCAGGCTGCTGGAGAAGGTGCAGAAGAAGGTGAGGGCATTAGGGGACCCCCCTCAGCTTTCATCAGAGTTGCTGGCGAAGGGCTGTGTGTTCCACCTAAGAACAGGAACAAGACAAGACATCTCAACACTCCTGTTCACACCCTGGAGCTCTGGCCAGGGAGGGCTGGCAATAAAGCGAAGTCAAAAGGCATCTATCACTAGTCAGGTGGCTCACACCTATAATCCTAACTACTCAGGAGGCTGAGATCTGAGGATCGCGGTTCAAAGCCAGCCCGGGCAGGAGAGTTTGTGAGATTCTTATCTCCAATAAACCACTAGAAAACCAGAAGTGACGCTGTGGCTCAAGTGGTAGAGCGCTTGCCTTGAGCTGAAGAGCTCAGGGATAGTATGCCCAGGCTGAGTTCAAGACCCAGGACTGACAAAAAAAAAGCCAGAAGTGAAGCTCTGGTTCAAGTGGTAGAGCACTAACCTTGAGCACTAAAGTTCAGAGATAGGGGGCTGGGAAGGTGGCTCAGTGGTAGAGCGCTTGCCTTGCATGCCTGAGGCCCTGGGTTCAGTTCCTCAGTACCACATAAGCAAAAAGAAAAAAGCCAGAAGTGGTGCTATGGCTCAAGTGGTAGAGCACTAGCCTTGAGCTGAAGAGCTGAGGCCTAGGCCCAGAGTTCAGGCCCCACAACCGGACCCCTCCCCCCCAAAAAAAGTTCAGAGCTAGCACCTAGAATTACAGTGACAATTGGGTATGGTGGTACGTGCTTGTAATCGTGGCTACTCAGGAGGCTGAAGCAGGAGGATTGCAAGATTGAGTCCAGCCTAGAGCAAGATACTATGTTAAAAGAAAAAAAAAAGCCTGTACTCTTGGGTGCATTGGAAAGCTGAGTAGTGGTAGAGCTCTTGTCTAAGCATGTGTGAGGTTCTGGATTTGAGCCTCAGCAACACAAAAGCACAAAAACAAAAAGGAAAGATCGACCTTGTATACTAGTGTTCATGCGGGCATTATTTGTAGTATCTTCAAAGTAGAAACAACTCAGGAATGGAGGTATAGAAGAAAATTATTTGGCAGAAAAAAAGGGATGAAGAAGAAACCCATGCTACAACATGGATGGCCTTGCAAACATCATGCTGAATGAAAGGTGCCGGGCCTAGAACATACTGGGTGACTGCATTCACATAAAACGTCCAGACTAGGCACGTCTTATAGAGACAGAAAGGTTCAGTTCATGCAGGCTGGGGCTGGGGGCAGGCGGAGATGGACTGCAAATAGGTATGGGGTTTCTTTGTGGTTGGTGTAAATGTTCTAAATTTGACTGTGGCAATGGTTACACAAGTTTGTGGAAGTAGAAGAGGGAAGAGCATATGGAATATGGAAATCTCAATAAAACTGTCATAAAAATGTCTGTGCCAGGTGCCAGGGGCATATGCCTGGAGTCTCAGCGGAGGCCGAGGTGGGAGGATCTTTTGAGCTTAGGAGTTGGAGGCCAGCCTGGGCTACAGAAAGAATTATGATGAAGGCTTGGAGAGAGACTAAAGTATGTAAGGGCCAATGCCACACGTGGTACCCAGCCTGAGAAACAGCGACATGAGCCCAGTGCCCGCCCTGCCACCTGTGCCCTGCCAGGCGCCTCTGCTGATAGGGAGGCCATCATTCCCAAGAGTTTAAAACCTGTCCTTTACCAGGCATGCGGTCTCTGCTTGCCTGAGGGCTCAGGGCGCAGCAGTGCAGGCTGTGGGCGGCCCCCTGCGTTTGGAGGAGGCAGGGGCCAGTCTGGTGACCTGGGAGGGAGGAGCGACCTCTGGAATGCATGCTCCCATGGAGGTGCAGTGCTGTTTGCTACCTGGGCTTGAACTCTGGGCTTCAGCACTTGTCTAGATTTCTTGCTTACAGTTAGTGCTCTATCACTTGAGCCATGCCTCCAATCTGGCATTTTGCTGATTGAAAGAGTCTTGAGGATGTTTTTGCTTGGGTTGGCTTCAAACCGTGATCTTCTAGATCTCAGCTCCTTGCGTAGTTCAGGATGACAGTGGTGGCGATGAAATATACCATAGCAGCTGGTGGCCCCGGGAGAGAAGGGATGTTTGTGCTAGGAGATGAGCCCCTTGGTCACTTGGGTGACTGCAGCATTGTGTGGGGGCACTTTTTCCTCTTTTTTTTTTTGTCAGCTGTGGGGCTTGAACTCACGGCTTGGGCACTGCCCTGAGCTTTTTCACTAATGTTCTACCACTTTGAGCCACAGCTCTACTTCCGGTTTTCTGGTGGTTAATTGGAGATAAGAGTCTCAAGGAGATTCCTGCCCAGCTAGCTTTGAACTAAGATCCTCAGATCTCAGCCTCTTGAGTAGCTAGGATTACAGGCGCGAGCCACCATCGCCTGGCTTCCCCCAGTCATTTTTTTTTTTGGGGTCCAGTCGTGGGGCCTGAACTCTGGGCCTGGGCACTATCCCTCTTCAGCTCAAGGCTAGCGCTCTACCACTTGAGCCATAGTGCCACTTCCGGCTTTTTTCTTTTTGCTTATGTGGTGCTGAGGAATCGAACCCAGGGCCTCAGGCATGCAAGGCAAGTGCTCTACCACTGAGCCACCTTCCCAGCTCCCCCAGTCATTTTTGCTTTAGTTTTTCAGATAAGATCTAGTGGTGTGTTTGCTCTGGGTCTGCCTGAAACCTCCATCTTCCTACCTGTACCTTCCAAGTAACTGGGATTACATTCATATGCTACCATTACATTCATATGCTACCATGCCCAGCACTTGTTACTAAGCAGCTCAGGGTGCCTTAAACTAGCTTTGTAGCTCAGGCAAGCCTCAAACAAAATCCTTTGTGTCTGCCTCCTGAGTGCTGGAATTACAGGCATGCTCACCTACCTAGCCTGGATGAAATGTATGAATATATCCCATATATAGTGGCTGAGGCAGCTAGGTGTTTTATTTTGTTTTGTTTTGTCCGTCGTGGAGCTTGAACTCTGGGCCTGGGTACGGTCCCTCAGCTCTTCAGCTCAAGGCTAGCACTCTACCACTTGAGCCACAGTACCACTTCCAGCTTTTTCTGTTTTTTTTTGGTCGGCTGCGGGTCTTGAACTCTGGGCCTGGGCGCTGTCCCTCAGCTCTTCAGTTCAAGGCTAGTGCTCTACCACTTGAGCTACAGCGCCACTTCCGGTTTTCTGATGGTTTGTTGGAGATAGGAGTCTCACGGTCTCTCCTGCCCGGGCTGGCTTTGAACCCCAATCCTCAGATCTCAGCCTCCTGAGTAGCAAGGTTACAGGCGTGAGCCACCAGTGCCCAGCTCAGCTTTTTCTGTTTATGTGGTGCTAAGGAACTGAACCCAGGGCCTCATGCATGCGAGGCAAGCGCTCTACCACTGAGCCACCTTTCTAGCCAACTGCTAGGGTTTTGAGGGCTGTGGACACGCTGAGTGCCAGGTGGAGAGAGTGTGGATGGGTAGAAGGACCGGTGGGTAGGCACTCTGGAGCAGACCGTGCTGAGGTGGGTGGTCGGGTGGGTGGCGATCCTCTTCCCTGCTCACACCTGTCCCTGGCTGTCAGCTGCGTGCGGCAGAGGTGGAGATCAAAGACCTGCAGTCGGAGTTTGCGCTGGAGAAGATCGATTACCTGGCCACCATCCGGCGGCAGGAGCGGGACGCCATGCTGCTCCAGCAGCTGCTGGAACAGGTGCAGCCCCTCATCCGCAGGGACTGTAACTATAGCAACCTGGAGAGGATCCGGCGCGAGTCCAGCTGGGATGAGGAGAATGGCTTCTGGAAGATCCCGGAGCCTATCGTCATGAAAACCAGCCTGCCCATAGGTGAGGCACTGGCTCACTTGCTGCCTTCCTACGGCGGGGGGGGGGGGGGAGAAGGGGAGAGGACAGGAAGCAAGCTGTGATCTCTGGCATCTGTCACACAGGGGAGGGAGGGCAAGAAAGCGTGTTCTGGAGAAAGAGGTGTGCCATTCCCAGGGCTCAGGGAAAGGAAAAGTTGCTGTGAGGCTTTCAATGTGTTCAGATGGTAAACACTTGGCTCACAGTAAGTGCCTGGCCTTCATTCCATCCTTACATGGAATTACCCACGGCTATGGCGATGCCTCTGATGCCTGTTTGGGGGGTGACAAGTGCTTCCCACTCTCCACGGCCCTTCCTCAACAGAAGGAGGCCCAGGTCTCCATCTCTTCCACACCACTGTCCCGTGGCCACTCCAGCCAGCTCCATTTCCCTGCGGTTCTGGGCAGCAGGGGTCTCTCTCTCTCTGCCCTGTGTACCCACTGTCCCACCAGATGTCCTGTTGGTGTTCCCAGTCATAGCATGCCTGGGCTGGGACCTGTTTTCCTGATTCAAATCCCTGAGCCAGGCCTGACTCCACCTTCAGGAGGGTGTGGCAGCCTCCTGCAGCCTCCAGGCCTTGCTCTTCAGCGTTTGTTTTCTCATAGCAGTTTCAACTGGGACACAGAACAAAGCAGTCCGCAAAACCTCTGCAACAGACAGTGGAGAGTCAAATGTGGTAAGGCCCAGGGAGGGGAGGAGGGAAGGAGGGAGGGGGAGGAAGGGGGAAGGGATGGAGAGGGACAGAGGGGAAGGGACAGCTAGGGTATAGTGGGTCAGCCATGCCATGAGGAACCAGGCTGCAGTTCTTGCAGGAGGATTAGAGCAGAGCACTGAGCCCAAAGCCTTTCCTGGCACTCCCTTAGCACCTGACTCTGGTCCTTATTCAAAGGCACTTAGGCCTCCAGGCTGAGAGAAGAACATAGAGGACTCTAAGCCGCTGGCCCCACTTAGCAGCAGATGCTTCGGCCTCAAATCCATAGGGTAGATAGAACAGTTTATTTCCCTGGACCCAAAGGATCCTCCTGGGGTCTGCAGTCAGTGGCTGGGAGTTTCCTATTACCTATGTCTTGTGTCAGAAATGTGCATCCTTAGCAGTGGTTCACGCCTGTCATCCTAGCTACTCGGGAGGCTGAGATCTGAGGATCGCAGTTAGAAACCAGCTCATGAAAAAAATCCATATGATTCTTATCTTCCTAAACTACTCAGAAAAAGCTCAAGTTGTAGAGCACTAGCCTTGAGCCAAAGAAACTCAGGGACAGTGCCTAGGCCCAGAGTTCAAGCCCTAGGACTGGCAAAAAAAAAAAAGTATCCTTCAAACTGGGGTCAACAAACCATCTCTGAAAGGGACCCAACAGCTAATGTTTTTGGTCCTACCATCTAAGGGTTTCTATTGTGACAGAAATCAGTCACCAAAAACAGATACTACATAAAATAGATACTTAAGTAGATAAACAAGAATAGATACTACATAGATACTACAAAAACATCCTGTGACAGGTTTGACTTGTTGGCTACAATCTCCTAACTCCTGCCTTGAACCATTATGGGTTTCTTTGTTTTGTTTTGTTTTTTTGTTTTTATCGGTCGTGGGGCTTGAACTCTGGGCTTGGGTGCTATCCCTGTGCTCTTCAGCTCAAGGCAAGTGCTCTACCGCTTGAGCCACAGCGCCACTTCCGGTTTCCTAGTGGTTTATTGGAGATAGGAGTCTCACGGATGTTCCTGCCTGGGCTGGCTTTGAACCTCGATCTTCAGATCTCAGCCTCCTGAGTAGCTAGGATTACAGGCGTGAGCCACTGGTGCCCGGCCCATTATGGACATTTCAGAACATACCTTTCCAGGGAAAGCCACAGGCTACCCAATTCCAGCCAGGCATCTGCCTGAGCAGCCTGGGATGACTGAAAGCGGCTGCATGCTATCTAAAGCTGGCCTGGTGGCTTTGATGGCTTAACTGCATCAGAACGGCTGAGTTGTTGTAAAAACAAAGAATCTTAACCTGGGACCACGACATTTTTGTATCCTAAGTGATAGATACCAAAGCAAATGATCACAAAGAAATAGAGCCAGGCACCGGTGGCTCATGCCTATAATCCTAGCTACTCAGGAGGCTGAGATCTGAGGATCTCAGTTCAAAGCTAGTCCAGGCAGGAACATCGGTGAGACTATTATCTCCAATAAACCACTAGAAGACCGGAAGTGGTGCTGTGGCTCAAGCGGTAGAGCGCCTACCTGGAGCTGAAGAGCTGAGGGACAGCGCCCAAGCCCAGAGTTCAAGGCCCACAACCGACCAAAAAAAAAAAAAAGAAAAGAATGTATTGATCCGTAGAAGTGATCTAGCTTCCGGCATGTGGGGCTCTACGTCTAGGGCTCTGTTCTTGCTTCATCCTGTGTCTGCCTTTGTTGCTGTGGCAGTTTCAGGCGTTCCTTGCAATGGGGAAGACAGATGGCTTCAGGGACACAGAAGAGATCTGACCCTTTCAGATCTCCTTACACCAAAGATTGTGGAAAGTTTTGGGAAGACTGGGCGTGTGACGGGGCTGGGTTGTTCTGTGACCTCTGTGAAGCTGCTATGAGAAAACAAAAGCTGTCGAGCAGGGCAGAGGACATAGGGGGCTGCCATATTGTCCTGGGGGTGGGGTCAGGCTTGGGGTTAGGACCCGGAGGACGGCTCCCAGCCCAGACAAGGGCTGACTAAAGACAGACAACAGGGGCTGGGAAGGTGGCTCAGTGGTAGAGCGCTTGCCTTGTATGAGGCCTTGGGTTCGAATCCTCAGCACTACATAAGCAGGAAAAGCTGTAAGTGGTGCTGTGGCTCAAGTGGTAGAGCGCTAGCCTTGAGCTGAAGAGCTGAGGGACAGCGCCCAGACCCCATGACTGACAAAAACAACAATAACAGCAGCAACAAAAAACACCACAGACAAGAGGGCATGGAATTTTCCTGAAGGAAGAGATGGGACCCGGACACCACTGTCACAGCAGGGAATGCCCATCCTGGGTGGGGTGGGCTAGGACTCAGGTTGCAGTGCTCATAAGGGTGGCTGAGCAGCTCTGTAATGTCACCCTTGCCATTGGTGGCAGTGGGGGAGGGGCAAGGCACTTCCTGTCTCAAGAAAGGAGCTGCACATGGGGTTGGGGGGGGTCTCAGCAGGAGGAAGACCGCTACAAGCTGATGCTCAGTCGAAGCGACAGTGAAAACATTGCCAGTAACTACTTCCGGTCCAAGCGGGCCAGCCAGATCCTCAACACGGACCCCATGAAGAGTCTGGGTGAGTGCCCCGTGCTCCCCACATCCCCTCAACCCAGAGGAGACCTGGGTTCAACCCTCTCTCCCTCAATGAGCCTCAGTGTCCTCAGCTATAAAACAAGGGGCATGACAGGCCCTTCTCAGGACTCAGAGACGAGCTGGGGAACAGCTCAGCCAGGGCCTGGCACGTAGTAGGTATGCAGGGAGTCTCCTGACACACAGGAAGGCTGTGCATAGGCCAGGTCTTGCTTATTCTTGTTTCCTCAGATGTAGGTATGCTGGCTTTCCCCAAGTCAAGGCAACCAACTTCATTTGCTCAGGCCCACTGAACCCAAGGGGGCAGAAGGACCCCCAAAACAAAATAATTTCAAGAAGTAAGAGCTTCAGTGAAACAGCACTAAGAAGCAAGTCAAGTTCTGCTCTGAGGCTGGCAGTGTGAGTGGTTGGGCACAGTGGCGCACACCTGTGATCCCAACTATGCAGGAGGCTGAGATCCAGAGGATCTTGGTTTGAAGCCAGCCTGGGAAGACAAATCTGTAAAACTCTTTATCTCCAGTTCAGCAAACAACCAGGCTGGTTGAGCAAGCAGCCAGATAGGAGTCATGATAAAGGGCCAGCTATGGAATGTAAGGTCCTGAGTTCAAATGCCAGTCCCAGAGACAGTGAGCATAGATGAAAAATAATGGGGGTGGGGGGTGGGAAAAGAGGTGGCTAGGACAGGAAAGAAAACAATTGGGTGCCTGGCACTGGGCCATGTTGCAGGTGAGGAAACTGAGGCTCAGAGGGGCCAAGTGGCTTGCCCAAGGTGATACTGCTAGGAAGTGGGAGGCTGGGCTGTGTCCGAGCTTGTCTGCTTGAGGCTTTAAGACCCCCCCAAGCCCCAGCTGAGACCTGAGTGGGTCTGAGTAGCACAGAGCCCAGTGGGGTGGCGGGCCCAGCTCTCCTGACTCACATCTGCTTTCCGCCCTCCTCTCTACAGCCCACCGCAACTCCCCACCAGGCTTCACCTCCCCGCTCAGCAACAACCCTGCCATCTCCCTCCCCCAGGCCCCTGAAATGCCCCAGCCCAGACCCTTCCGCCTAGAGTCCCTCGACATCCCCTTCTCCAAGGCCAAGCATAAGAAAGGCAAAAGCAACTGTGGCAACGAGCCTCTGTGATGGCATCTGCCTGCCTGCCACCTGCGCTAGGCTTCTAGAAACTGCCAGGCTCTCCCAGGGCAGCCCCAACCAGGCTTCCTTCCCCTCAACCCCCCACCGACCTGGGCTGAGGGGGCCTCAACCCTGAGCTCACCGGAAGCTGGAGTCTGAGAAACCTGCCATCGCTGTCCCACCACCATGCCAGAGTTGCCACGGAGCCTGTGCGTGGGCCTGCCCCTGGGTATTTGCCCTTTGCCCAGATGGGCGCAGGAGCCCCAGGGCCTTCACCAGGGCCCAGAGAAGCTGCTTCACCTTAAGTTGTCCAAGAAACTGCCTTTAAGGTTGAGCTACCCCCTTTCCCCGCCCTGTGCACATCCCAGGAGCCCCCTCCCTGCTATCATGGGAAGCTCTCTCTGAAAAGGGGGTTTTCCACTGCCTGGGGTCTCTGGGGTTTCTCCTGCAATTTTTTAGGAGAGTCTGAACTTTCAGATCTATGGCGTCCTCCTCGTGGAAATAGATCATGTCTTGCAAGGCAGAAAATGGTCCGGGTTTTTTGGTTTGTCTGTTTACTTGGTGGTACTGGAGTTTGAATTCAAGGTCTCGTGCTTGCTGGGAAGGCACTCTACCATTTGAGCCAGCTCGTCTTGCTTTACTTTTTTAGATATAGCCTTGCTAACATGTTGCCTGGGCTAGCCTTGAACTCGTTTCCTCCTGATTATGGTCTCCTGAGTATCTGGGATTAGAGGCATAGCAACCCAGTTTTTGAGAGTTCCCAGGGCTTCCGTGAAACTACTTGTCCCAATAGAGCCAAAAATGAAGCCAGATGGCTGTTTGTGCCCTCCAGGGGTTAGAGCCTTCCCTTCCCCATTGTAACCCAAGCCTACCTTGGGGGGAGAGGGGGTGGCGCACAGTCTGAGAAGGAGCCCTCTTCTCTCAGTGGAGGTAACATCTATCAACCCCAGGGAGGGTTTCATGAGATAACTCTACTTTGTGTAGTGTCCACAGGCTGCATGTCTGAGCCAAAGTGCTCTTATTGGAGAGGCCAGATAGGGCTCTCAAAGTGAGAGGTTTCTGGGAGCTTTGGGACTGTGGGAATGGGTGAGGAAGAGGTGGGGAAGCAGGAACAAGAGGAAGGAATAAAGCTGTGGAGATGAGTTTAGGTTGAAACCTAAAAGAAAGAGCCCAGAAGTAGCCCTGAACTGTGGGAGGTCAGGGAAAAATAGGTTGGCATCCTTGTGAGGGGCAGGAGGTTAACTTTGGTGAAGCCAGCTGGGATGGGAAGGATGTAGAGGAGTGTCAAGTAAGACGAGGCATCCAGAGGGAGGATTTGTTTTTCATCCTCCTCATTCTTGGGTTGGTGGACAAGTGTCAGAAAACAGGTCCCAGCAGGGCCAGCGACTCGAGCCTGTAATCCTACTCAGGAGGATGTGACCTTTGAGGATCAAAGCCAGCTGCTGAAACTCTTCTCTCCAATTAACCACTAACAAGTCAGAAGTGGGGCTATGGCTGAGTGGTAGAGCGCCATCCTTGAGTGAAAACAGCTCAAAGGCAGCGCCCAGACATTACAGCGCACTGTGCACACACTGAAGGAAATATAAAAGGTGGAAAGAAACGGTACCTTCCCTCTCCACAACCACCCTCACCATCGGCCCCAGGAGAGAGGCGGGAGGCCGAGAACGCCTCCCAAACCTGCCTGCGGCGAGCGAGCGCGGGGAGGAGGCTCGGCGGCGGCTCCGAGGGCGCACAAGTGGAGGGGCTGGGCCCCGTCCCGACTCCCGCAGGCTCAGCCAACGACGCCCAGAGGCAGGGCTAGTGAGAGGTGGACCTTGGGATCCGAACCCAGGTCGGGCTCCAGAGCGGGAACGTTTGAATTGCTAGGCCACGCCGCCGTCCGCGCAATCTACAGTGTGGGCCCCGGTTGGGCCGGAGCCGTCCCCACCCGCAGGCTCCCTGCCGGAGAGGGAGATGGGCCCGACTCCCAGTCCTAATCCACCCTAAACCAGTGAGGGCCGAGGAGGCGGCTCGGGACCCCAGATCCCGTCCGGGACAACCGTGACCCCAGGGGCCAGGAAAGAAGCGGGTCGGACCAGCGGCGAGAGGCTCCTGGGCGGAGTCAATAGACGTTCCGCCTTGTTGATTGGCCGCGGCAGCAGAGCTGGCTCTCTGTGATTGAGCCTTTTCCTCTGGGGGAGGCGGGGACTCAGGCTCCCTCCACCAATAGATCCGCCTCGGGCACTTCCACCGGGGCACTTCCGCCGGTGCTACCTGCTCACCAGTTAACTGGTCACCGCAAAGGCCGGGGCTCGGATAGCCCAACACCGAAGTCTTCGGATCACTTCCGGGTGGCGCTCCCGGGCTCCGAGCCGTGATTGGGCGACTGTAGACAGGGCACTTCCGGTGTCCAGGTGCTGGGCTCCCAGGCAGGAAGGAAAGATGGAGCCTTGCGCCGTGGCCCGCGCTCCAGCCCTCTCGTGGCTGCTGCTGCTGCTGCTGGGCTCGGTGTGCGGCAGCGGCCCCCGCACGCTGGTGCTGCTGGACAACCTCAACCTGCGGGAGACGCACTCGCTTTTCTTCCGGAGCCTGAGGGGTGAGAACGGGATTCTAGGGGCGGAGGGTGAGCGCGGGGCTGGGCAGCGCCGCCCTCTCCCCTCGGGCGCCCGCGGGCATCGCCGTGCCCCCCCCCCCGTCCTCACGTCCGGCCTGCTGTCGGGTGGGGGGCTGTGGCGCGGCTGCTGGGGTCGCTTTGGGGCTCATCTGTTATTTTTCTCATCCAGACCGGGGCTTTGAACTCACGTTCAAGACCGCCGATGATCCCAGCCTGTCGCTCATTAAGTATGGGGAGTTCCTCTACGACAATCTCATCATATTCTCCCCCTCGGTGGAAGGTAAGGGCCCCACCTCGCCCCGCCCCGACAGCCGGAATCCGGGGCCCCGGACGCATCCGTGGCTTTCTTGTCCCCGGGTTTGTTCTGAGTGTCGGTGGTGGCTAGCCCCGAGTACCGCGCTGCCACAGAAGAGGAACGACTGCATTTCTAACATGGGCCCCGGGAGGAGACACAGCTAAGGATTGTGGAACCACATGTTGCCATAAGACACTGAATCAAAGTCCTGCTGCATTAGGGAGCCAGGGCCCCTTAGGTGAGGTTGCCTCTGGAAACATTGTCCTGTTATTAATATGGATCGCTGGAAAAAGACATTATGCAGTGTGGAAGCTGATCATAGCTTGCGCTGAAAAAAGTATCCTAGCAATAAGCTCCCCTAGCACCCTCCCACCATTTGAAGCTGGATATTCCGTAGTGTGGCAGAGGGCTCATCGTAGAAGGAGTATCTTCAGGTTATCTGATTTTTACTATTTTAGAAGGTAATCCACTCCATTACTAGACTGTTCTGTCAGTCTAGTAACTGTCAATTCTGAGAGTCAACATTACTTAACCCTGACTCCACATTGTCATTGTCACCTTTTCTGTCCCTGGTGAATGAGAAGTGCTGTCCCAGAAAGCCCTCTCAGGCACCCTGGGAGAAGGCTTATATCTGCTGAGAGTGCAAGAGGGGTTGGATCTGCCTTGTGAGTTTTGAGCACCTTGATTCCCCAAGAGTGTAGACAAACCTGGTCTCCATGCACCAGTGGGTTCTCTGCGGTATCTGAGATCCAGAGGTTTCCATGTCTTACGTAGTAGAAGCACAGGGATTGGGATCCTTAGCACATGATCTGCACCTGGAAGACACTGGATTCCTGTTCTAATGGGGAGGTGGCTCAGCAAGATTCAGGAGTTTACTTAGTTCAGTCCCAGGCTGTCTCAGTTTAACCTTGGCAGTGTTCTTCTCTTCTGCTTGTGCAGAGGGTTCTCAGCATTGGCACTTTGGACATTTCAGACTGGGTCATTCTTTGTAGTGAAGGGTTATTCTGTGTGCTGTAGGGAGCCCAGCAGCATACCAGGCCTTGCTTTTGATTGTGTTGTGAATAATGAGTGGATAATGGCATTTTTAGGTGAATATGCTACATGTGACTTAAGCTGTGTGCTTCTAGCTTGACAAATGTAATTAAGAGATGTTTGGCTATTTCACCCACATCTCTAGAAGTTCATCAGAGTTGTTCTTTTGAATCTTCACTGTGGGAAAATGAGGGCTTGCCCTGTAGCACATATGGTGTGCTAACTCTCCCTCTCATTTTTGGCCTGGAGGGATCCCACTTAATGCTTCCTGTGGCTGGTCTGCAGGATCCCCCACCCCTTACCAAGTATCAAGGGTCAGTGACGGATGCTTCTGGTCGCTGTGCTTGGCTCCTTCTTTCAGATTTTGGAGGCAACATCAATGTGGAGACCATCAGTGCCTTCATCGACGGTGGAGGCAGTGTCCTGGTAGCCGCCAGCTCTGACATTGGTGAGTGTGCCTGGGAGGTTCTAGTGCTTTCTCCAGATCTCCAGGGAGCTTGGGGAGTATCACACATGGGAACTACTGAATTGTGGCACTGGTGGGCCCAGGAAGCAGTGAGGATGCTGCAAGGTTTTGGGTCCCCCAGTTCCTCCTGTGTGTTCTGTGAAAGGTAGTGAGAACCCTGGCTTGTTTGTGACTCTATCTGTAGAGAAAGGCATATTGAATGGTGCCTAAGGTATTGGGTGGATTTCTACTTTTTCTGGTTTTGAAGGTTGCAAAGATGCCCAGAGCAGGGAGCGCGACCTCTCCCGTGTGCTGGTGGCCTGCCTCCACAGTCTGGCCCAGGCTGCTTTCCTCTCTTCAGTAGTGACAGATTTTAAACTTGCATTGATCCTAGTGGGTGGGTTTCTTGCGGGGTCTGGGAGGAGTGTTGCCAAGGACTGGAGGAATCTTGTGGTCTAGTCATGTCTAGGGCAACATTGGCTATGTGCAAAGAGGGGTTCTGTAGAGCTGGGTCATACTGGTTTATGGAGGGAGAGAGTTCTGATTCTCATCCCTGGAAGTCGTACCCAGCCTAATGAAACTGTAGGACGCTAGGTGTGCCTGACCAGTAACAAGGTTACTATATACTGCTAGGCTGGGCCCACCATCTGTGCTTAGCCAGGCATTTCTTGGGTGTTGCAGGTGACCCTCTTCGGGAGCTGGGCAGCGAGTGTGGGATCGAGTTTGATGAAGAGAAAACGGCTGTCATTGACCATCACAACTATGATGTCTCAGATCTTGGCCAGGTAATCAGACTTGTCACCTTTCAGGTTTCTGGCATGGACAGCAAAGCTTGGCTCTGAGCTCCCTAGCCTGGGAAGCCTTTTCCTAAGGCCACTCCTTCCCCTCCCCTCTGCAGCACACGCTCATTGTGGCTGACACAGAGAACCTACTGAAGGCCCCGACAATTGTTGGGAAGTCATCTCTAAACCCCATCCTCTTCCGAGGAGTTGGGTGAGTATCAGGCCAACAGAAACTTGGGGGAAAAAGGGGCCACCTTCTTTCTGGGGAAATCAAGCCAAATTTAGTTATTGGGGGATGTTCCTCCTCTAGAGGATGTGTGAGAGTAATAAAGAGGAGAGGTAAGTGTTTGACTATAAAAAGAGGCTTTGTTCTTGGGGGCTTTGTTCTTGGGGAAAGAGCCCGCAGGACCCCTGCATCCCTGGAGTCAGCCTCTGGGTAAATGTCAAGCCGCTGTTTCTTCACACTGCAGGATGGTGGCCGATCCTGACAATCCCTTGGTGTTGGACATCCTCACAGGATCCTCAACTTCCTACTCCTTCTTCCCAGATAAGCCCATCACCCAGGTAAGGGGCTTGGCATCTTGAGCCTCCTGCTCCTGGGCCCAGTGGCAAAGTACTTTTTGTATTCTGAAAATCAGAACGAAACAGGTAATTCTTTGCTAAGGCTGATGGACAATTTGAGGGGAATGGGCACACAGGTAGCAGTGTGACCCCTGGTTCCTTTATGGGAGAGGGACATAGCTACCTCTGGGTCTAGCCTGCTGTCCTCTTGCTCTGGTGGCTTTTCCTTTATCCCAGTGACATCTGTTAATTGCTTCCTCTGTCACTAGTACCCTCACGCAGTGGGGAAGAACACCCTCCTCATTGCTGGGCTCCAGGCCAGGAACAATGCCCGGGTCATCTTCAGCGGCTCCCTTGACTTCTTTAGCGATGCCTTCTTCAACTCCGCCGTGCAGAAGGCCACGCCTGGCGCCCAGAGGTAGAGTAGGGGCTCAGCTCTCTGTCTGGGTGTGGGGAGGAAGAAGCCTTCCAAATTACTTGAAGATGACGGTTGCTGTGTAGCTGGTATTGGTGCTTCATGCTTCTCAAGATAGTGTTGACTTGTCTTGAGACCCCCTAATCTCCAGCATTCCTTTTAGAAAACTGTCTTTAGAGCTGGAGATGCAGCTCAGTGGTAAAGCACTTGCCTAGCATGCATGAGCCCCTAGGTTCCAAACTCAGGTTCACCAAAGAAAACAGAACAAAAGCCTGTGATTTACTGTGCAGATGACACCCAGAGAGAGCAACACTGCCTGCTTCTTTCATCATTTTCTTTTTCCATTCAGTGGCCTATTGTGTCCTGTGAGGAAGAATTGTGGTCCAGGACTCTAGTTTTTTATTTTCTTCTGCAGGTATTCCCAGACAGGCAACTACGAGCTAGCTGTGGCCTTATCCCGCTGGGTGTTCAAGGAGGAGGGTGTACTCCGTGTGGGGCCTGTGTCCCATCATCGTGTGGGCGAGAAAGCCCCCCCCAATGCCTACACTGTTACTGACCTAGTGGTAAGCGCTCAGGAAGGAGGCCTCAAGGTTTTGCCAAGTTGAATCTACTCAGCTTGGAAACATTTACTGAACATTTTGATGTCAGACTGCAGGGTATAGGATGATTCCTTACCTCTACTTCTAGAAAGCTGCTTGAAGAATTGAGTCTGACACAAGGCCTCCTTTTTAAGAGCTGCGTGCAGCTGTGGGAACACTGGGGTGGGGGGCGGGGGTGGGGGGAGTGGGAAGCAGGGGTGGTGGTGGGAGGGATGCAGGGAGGTGGTGCGCACCTAGGAAGTCAGATGTACCAAAAAAGCCACATTTCAGTTGGGGCTCAGGGATGGAATTGTCAGGCCAGGGAAGAGAGAGGCAGGCAGGCAGGCAGGCAGGCCATGGGGAGACCTGCATGCTTGCCAAAGCCCACACAGGGAATAGAGAGTGCTTTGGGCCCCCATGGACTCTGCACAAATGCTGCCAGCTGTGTGATCAGCCTCGTTCAGGGAAGGTGGTGAAGGCTTCTCCAGGTTGCAGGACTCCTGGAAGTCACTGTCCTGTCTAGAGATTAAGAATTAAGGCAGCCCTGCTTGCAGGTCTGTGCCCCACCAGTCACTCTTGGCTGAGTCAGCCTTTTATCGCAGGAGTATAGCATCGTGATTGAGCAACTCTCCAATGGCAAGTGGGTCCCCTTTGATGGTGATGACATACAGCTGGAGTTTGTCCGCATTGATCCTTTTGTGAGGACCTTCTTGAAGAGGAAAGGTAAATGCAGTTCTTGCCAGCGTGGGCCACAGGGAGCAGCTATGCCCTGTGCTTGCTCCATGAGGCCCAGCTGAGCACTCTCCTGGATATGTGTGTTGCTTCCTCCCCAGGTGGAAAATACAGTGTCCAGTTCAAGTTGCCGGATGTGTATGGTGTATTCCAGTTTAAAGTAGATTACAATCGGCTTGGCTACACACACCTGTATTCCTCTACTCAGGTAAGCAAGGACAGTGTGATTTTGGCTGGCTGGTGCCCCGCTCAGGCCTCCCACTGGCCAGGACCTGCCAACTTTGTCCTGCCACAGGTGTCAGTGAGGCCACTCCAGCACACGCAGTATGAGCGCTTCATCCCCTCAGCCTACCCCTACTATGCCAGCGCCTTCTCCATGATGGCGGGACTCTTCATCTTCAGCATCGTCTTCTTACACATGAAGGAGAAGGAGAAATCTGACTGAGGGGCCGGAGGCCAGGACTTCACACAGCAGAGTGGCACATGATTTTATTAGGGCAAGATGTTTTGTTGTTTTTTAAGTCATGGGAAATGGCACAGCCTTACCTCAGCGTGGAACGCAGCATTGAGTACCAAGGGGTGGGGGCTGGGGAATCAATTTTTATGTAAGTTTTTCTATGTTGAGTTGCTGCGAAGCATTTTTCACACGTGCTGTCACTTTCTTTTCTAATCTAAAATAAAGAGAAATGCTGGCCCTGTCTTGTGGTCAGGTGGGGACACTGTTCTGAGATGACTGGATACAAATTAGCAGGTTGCTGTGTGTGGGTGTGCGTGAATGCGCATGCATGTGTGTGCTGGCATTGGGACTTACTTGGACTCAGGACCTCTTTCCTTTGGCTTTTTCGCTCAGTTGGCACTCTACCACTTTGAACCACATCTCCATTTTCAGCTTTCGTGGATATGAGTATCTCAAATTTGTTTATTGAGTCTGGCTTCAAACCTTAGTCCTTGGGTCTCAGCCTACTGAGGACGGTAGGTGTAAGACACCAGTTGCTTTTTCCAGTTTTGCAAAGATTGAACGATTGTCTTTTAACTATGAAATAACTGCATGCTAACTTCTCAGCAGCTAAAGTTGTTGATACCCTCAGGGTGCTGGAACCATAGCATGGCTGAAAATAATTTTTTGCTCACTACTATAGTCCATGGTTGCATTCTTAAAAAGCATGTGTAAAATTTTGAAGTCTCTTCTTCTCATGCCCAGAGCATAAAGATCATTCTGAAACCCAAATATTCCGCACATACATATATACTGTGCACTGTAAATGTGTATTTAATCTCACATATCCTATAACAGATGCTAGTCAGAAAGGAAATGGGCAAGTTTAGACCCACACCCAGTCTTTTTAGTTGTGCTAGGTTGAGTTCAGTGGCTAGAGGAGCTGGGAGGGAAGCATTATCCCAGTGCCACAGCCGTTCCAGAAGCCATGCGCCATTGTGGAGGCAGTCAGGGTCTGCTGTGGATTTTTATGATCCCTGAATTACTACCCTGCACAAATGTTTGTCTCAACCAGGTAGAGCATGCCTACTGGGGCCATGGCTGACCATTCTAGGGTCAAATACTCCCTCTGTCCCCATAGCTACTCACTGCCTTCTCTGTGATCTGAGGTGCAGATCTGACCATTCAGCTCAGCCATTCAATGTGGGAGGTCTGTGAGGACAGAACAGGGCTGAAGATAAGGTGAGGTAATGCACAGGGACCTAATGTTTTAAGGGTTAGGTCTTGTGAATTCATCTAGACCAGAGGTTGGCAAACTGGCCTGTGGACCACAGTGGCCTGCCACTTGCAGTCTTGAAGTAGTTTTTACACTGTTAAGTGGTTAGAAAAATGACATATGAAAATTCCAATTTCAGGGTCCACAAAACTGTTGAAACACAGCACTAGTTTGCTTAGCTTGCTTTGTGCTTCAGCAGAGTTGAGTAGTTGCAACAACTTGATTTACTGGCCTTCCACAGAGTTTGCCAACTTCTGATCTAGAGCCATCCCTTGATTCTGCAGGGCGAAGAACTTAAGTCCACATAGATTATAGAATTTAAGAGTTAGTGGCTACAGAGTAAACTGAATCAACTTGTTCCTTCTGTTTGCCAAACCAAGGCCTCTTCTTTGGCTGACCAGCCCCACACTCAGTCTGCTTGTCTCCTGATTCTAACACTCCCAGTGAGCTCCCATAGCATCCACACACCTTTATGACACATGCTGCCAAGTCCTTTTAGTAACACATCAGTGACACACAGTGTCATGGGGCTGCCCGCCACGAGCAGAGCAGGAGAGCCGCCTGGCAGAGTGAATCACACTCTAGGTTAGCCAGAAACAACATCTTCAGCTTTGTTTCCAGGCAGCTCTTCCCTACCAGCCTGTTGGCCAGTAAAGTGGCTGCTGATTGCTGGAGAAGCCAGCCGATCATCTTGTCTAATTTCAGGTTCTTCAGGGCTAGAATATGTTCACCCCAGAGGCTTAAGTGGAGCACATTTGCAGCTACTCGTGCTGATGGTCTCTGCAACATCAAGAGGATAAGAGTTTAGAACCCCTGGCCAAGCCCTCAGTCCACATAGCATTCTTAACACAGTCATGCTAAGGCCTTCCCTTCCTTATTCTTGCTCCACCTCTCCCTCCTGATAGGCTTCCCTCAGCTGACACACACAGGCATTTGCATCATTAAAATTCAGGCCTGTCTGTCCTTGCTACAGTCACTGAATCAGACCTACTGCTCCAGTTACAACTTCCAACAGACTGGCCCTTCATGGTTTTTTATATTAACTTCATAGCATCCAAATCTGCTCTCTGAAATACCTTCCAATTCCCCTGCCAGATTAGATCTCAATTGTTTCCATATGCTGTGTGTGTGTGTTTCTCAAAAAATCACCCTTTGCCCTCTGAGTAACTTTTGAGGCAACTAAAAGAGCCAAGGAGAAGACTGAAGTTGTGGCTCAGTAAATGCTTCCTTAGCATGCTCGAGGCCCTGGGCTCTAGCCCCAGCACTGAAATAAAGAAGCCAAGAAGAGGTGTTATGCTAGAATTTGAGTAATGGTTTGGAGGCCAGTTCCTTTGGTTTATTCTCTGTGTGCTCCTGGACTTACACCTACCCATGTATGCCAGGCACTGTATTGCTTGTTCAGACAATGTGGAGCTCCCCAGACACACAGTCCCCTCAAAGGCCTGGCCTTACCTTACTGGCCTCTCGCTGGAGCAATGCCCTCACCAGATGCCTGGTATCCATAGGCACCATCTCGGGCAGCTCAGGGAGCTGAGACTCTTGGTAACTGCGGCTTTCCAGGTGGGCCCTTCCCTGGCCATAGAAGGGGTTGGCGATCCCGAAGATTTCATATGCAATGGCTCCTACAGCCCAGGCATCAGCCTTGCTATAGTCAATCACTGCCCTGGGGCCAGGACAGGCTGTGGACACCTGCTCAGGAGGCAGAGGATGAGATGTCAGGTGCTGTTTGTGTCACCTAAGCCAGAGGCTAATGTGTCCCCAGAGACCCAGAATTTGAATGAGTTGAAGCTCAAGCCAGAAGGATCTGTGGAGGCTGGCCAGCTGAGGCAGACAAATCTATCTTGGGGATAGAGGGAGAGCCAGGCTAAAGCAGAGAAGAAGGCTCCTGTCTCATGCCTTTGTTTGAGTGGGAACAGAGTGGAAGCATCTGCTAATGGTGGAAGATGCAGAGCAGGACTTACCTCAGGAGCCATCAGGCAGCCATTTCCACCCCGATCCACGTACCAGCTGGTAAAAGGCAGCTGCAGGCCGACATGCTCATCAGCCAGGCAGCAGCCAAAGTCAGAGATCACCAACCAGGGATAGCCATCTGGAGGAGCAGCAGAGGTGAGTGGTGATTCTATTCTGCCCTAAGAGGCCTTCCCCTTGTCCCTCTGAAAGCCACCACCAAGAGAGTGAACTGGGCTAACAGGCTGGGTGCCCAGACGCACAGGTCAAGCTATGAGTGGAAATTGACTCGCCAAGGAACTGAACAGGAGGGCCAGCCACAGAACAGAGTTGACTCCCAGAGACAAAAGCTCACACAGAGGACTGGGTGAGGAGTCTAGCTCCACCTAAATGGTAGCTAGACCTGTCCCAAGACCAGAGGAACTGGGACTTGGCTCAGGTGATTTCCAAGAGCCTTTACATACTAGGAGTTTTGAGTTTGATTTTGAAGCTCCAAGAAATCTAACAATGCCTTAGGAATAAGTTGTTTGTAAAAGTACCCATACGGTTCCTTTAGTCACTTAGCTGCGTATTTGTTTTAAATCTAGTTTTAATAACTTATCAGACATTATGTGAGAGGCAGAAGCAGGAGGATCTCAAGTTCAGGTTATGTAGAAAAACTTCAAGACCAGTATGAGCTACATAGTAGGACCTTGTCTTAAGAAAACAACTTCATTTTAAACAAAGGCTGGTGATATAGCTCAGTAAGTGCAGATAACATGGGAAAGACCCTGGATTTTAGCCTCAGACCTTCCTCTGCAAAATATCAGAGATGTGAGTCTTTAAAGTGGGGAGGCAGGTGGCTTCTACTGAGCACTTCCCATGCTGGGAGCTCATTACTTTTGGAGGCAGCCGGGCTTCCATTTGCATGGTTTTTACTGAATTACTTTTGCCACTGAGTTAAATCCAGCTCATTTTTACTTTATTTATTTTATTTTATTTTTTATTTTTTTTGGCCCAGTCCTGGGGCCTGAACTCTGGGCCTGGGCGCTGTCCCTCAGCTCTTCAGCTCAAGGCTAGCACTCTACCACTTGAGCCACAGCACCACTTCTGGCTTTTTTCTTTTTGCTTATGTGGTGCTGAGGAATCGAACCCAGGGCCTCATGCATGCAAGGCAAGCGCTCTACCACTGAGCCACCTTCCTAGCCCCTCACTTTTACTTTATTTATTTATTTTTATTGTGAGAATACCGTGGGCAAGATAACGAGTACATTTCTTATCAAGCATTGTGGCCTCTTCTTTGTTTCCCCTTCTCATTCCTTCCCATACTCCCCCCTTCTCCCACCCAATCCTCCCCCCACCTCCCACCAAAGTTGTAAAGTTCGTTTTTCGACATAACGACTTGTATATCTCATTGTTGCAATGTATCCCTAGTTAAATGATTTGTTTTTTCCCTTCCCCTCCACAAATTATACCAACATCAAATACAGTGAAAGCAGGGGTTATACCTTGGGGGAGGGACATACAAAGCAACTAAGAAATCATCTTATAAGTATGTTAGAAACAATTGCATGAAAGAAAAAAAACAAAAAAACATTTGAATACTTATCTTGGGGTTCATTCCCCTAACATCAACTTATCTGACCTTTTCTGCTTGACTCAGACATAACTAGTTATTGCAAATAAGGAAAACCATGGAACCTATGTTTCTTTGGGCCTTGCTTACTTCACTCAATTCACTTTTACTTTATTAAAAAAAAAAAGCTGCAATACTAAGGCTGCTGTTGTACAAGTAGGCATCAGAGCCTGACTCCCTAGAGGAGGAATCAAAAAGAGGGATGGTCTGTTTCTGGGGTATACACTTAAAGAAGCCACAACAAGCCGGGAGCCAATGGCTCACTCCTAGTGACTCAGGAGGCTGAGATCTGAGGATCACAGCTCAAAGCTAGCCCAGGCAGGAAAGTCCATGAGACTCTTATCTCCAATAAATCACTAGAAAACTGGAAGTAGTGTGGTAGAGTGCTTGTCTTGAGCTGATGAGTGCATCGACAGTGCCTAAGCCCAGAGTTCGAGCCCCATGACTGACCAAAAAAAAAAAAAAAAAAAGCTACAACAGGATCGAGCATAAAACCCATCAGGGACCTGAGGATCCTAAGGTCTTCCAGAGAAGACTGGGCCATAGCAAGTGCCTACCTGCACCCAGCTCCACAAGGATGTTGTCAGACTTGAGGTCTCGGTGTGCGATACCCTGCTGGACCAGGTGATCCACGCCTTCCAGTAACTGCAGGATCATCATAGTGGCCAGGCGGGGGCTAGGAGCATTTGCATGAAGGTACTGGCGCAGGGTACAGGGGTAGCTGGCAGGAGGGGAATAGGATTTCTGGTTGCCATGCAGCAATAATCCCTAGCACCACATGCACTACTATTACTAGTCTTTTTCTCTTTTCTTGAGCTTTTCAATTCCCCCCATATATCCTTTTTGTTCCCACCATCCTGAAAGGAGGAACTGAGAGAAGAAGGCTCCACACGTTCAAATGACAGTCATGCTGCACCAGTTAGGAGATAGAGGGTGACACAAGCCACAGAGAAGGAGCAGCCAAATGTGCTGAAAAAGCACCAGGTGGAAAGTGTGTCCTGGAAGATGATAAACCATCCTAAGGGGAGACTGCTTTCTGTCTGCTGCCCTCTCTCTGCATGCCTTACTCTTTCTGGAAGTTCTGAGGTAGGGACCAGCCAGGTAAGGTGGCTCCAGGTTCTACTGTACCTCTGCTACTTACTTCTTCATTACGAGGAACAGCGTGCGTCCATGGCCTAGGCCTTCGGGGTGGAGACTTGGGGGCAGCATGTCAGGGTAGTCGGCCAGGGCCCCTGGCAGCAGTGGCACTGATGAGGTGAAGGCGCGGAAAACCCGGATGATATTGGGGTGTGGGGTCAGCTGCTTGGAGCCTCTCTTGGACTTCCTATTCAGCCAAATGGGAGAAATGGGTGAGGCCAGTTATCAGAGATGACAGGTGGAAAGACAGCGAAGGCTGCAACAAATACCAGCATTTATACTGTACTTGTTTACCGATAGTTACTATTTGTGCCATGTTCCAGCTACTGAACTGGGGTTGGAGGCAAAAATCCCAATGGGGATGACTCCTAGCCCACCTGTCTGTCCACCTAACTTATCATTCACACAAGCCGCCATCATCCCACATGGCAGAACATGGAAGTAGTTTGGGTTTGAATTTCAAATCTGCCTCTCTAAGTCAGCCAAGTTACTTCTCTGGGCTCAGTGCCAAGTCCAAAAGGAGAATCAGGTAGTAACATACCACTTAAGGCCTGGAATCACAATTAGAACAACAAGTACCCAGCAAATATTGGCTACTGTAGTACTGATTCTACTGTTTACTGTTTTACACTGTCAGACTTCATGTTAATAGGCTGTGGAGCTTTGTAGAGAACAGGCTCACGTTTTAGTCTAGTGGAAGAAGGATGTTCACCAAATCATTGTTTTTGCTCCCCTAAGGATCAGGTCGTCATTGTGGCTTTCTGATGTATTTTTTCAAGTTCGTTCATATCCCTGACATAGATGCAGCTGGGGTAGTAGTATCACCTGCTTGCCCTGCATTTTGTATGGGAAGCACATCCTCACCTCATAGCCTTCCTGAGGCACAGTGGTTGTATTTTGGCAGGGCGGGTCCACTTTCTGTAGCAAGCCCAGCCTGGCAGCCAGAGCTGACTGGATCAAAGATGGGTACTTGGGTCAAAGGCATGGGTACATGAGATCTGAATACTTGGGGAGCACAATAAAGTAGGCTACCAGTCAAAAGCACTGAGGTGGAACCAGGCTAGGGAGCCATGGAGAGTCAGAGAGGGAGCAAGCCAAAGGTTAGCAGGAATGGAAAGGCCATAGGAGCAGCTGTTCAAGCAGCTGAAGGCTGTGGTCCTTCAGGCTCCCGTGCTGATAGCATCACCTGATAAGAGGTGCTATCACCTGCCTAGACCTTCCATGTGAAACAGCCTCTGTCCTGTCCTTTAGTTGTTGCATGGTGTTCATCACTGTGTGGTTCTAAGTCCTGTATGTGTGGGTGTCTGTGTTGCTGACCACTGTCTCCCAAGCAGCACCGTGGTGCTGTCTCTGGCATGCCCCAGCTCAGTGTCTGCTGACTAGGTGGCTATGGCAGATAAATTAACTGTATAGCTGCTGGGTCTTGGAAGAAACTCCTCCCTGGCACATTCTGGGGGCATTCCTACCTAGCCTCTGTTCCTGGGCCTCAGGCTCCAGAGCCTTTGTGATCTGCTCCCCTTACTGTGTCTGCCCCCTCACTGTTTCTGCCCCCTCATTTCTCATCTCTTTCCCATTTGAGCCTCCCTTCCCCCCACATCCTGAATTGCACCAGGTTCCTCTATGACTGAGCATGCTGTGACTGAAGGTTGGCTGTTCTCCCTGCAGGATGCAGGTCTAATTCAAACACCTACCCCAACATACACAGCACACATGCTAACTCAGAGTTGCCATGGTGCCTGCCAGGGCCTTGACAGCCTTCAGCTGTAGCCATTCTTCCTCTGGCCCAAAGGCCTAGAGACAAGAGCCATGCTGCATCCAGCAGGGGGCTACTGAGGTGGATCCACAAAGTGCAAGGAAGGCCAGGCAATGTTCTTGTCTCAGCTCACTCTGGCTCCTGCTCCCATTGGCCTGTAGGGACTCAGTGAGAGTGGAGCCTTCAAAGCCCAAGAAGGGCGTCTGCAGTCTCCTAAGTTCCTATTTCTGCTTTCAACAGAACTGAGATCTGTGGACCACCCATCTAATAAGCCAGCATGACAGCAGTCCCCCTCTGCCTGGTGGGGTTCAAATAGTAAAGTAAATGCACGCATTCTCTCTGTAACCAGTTTCTGGGGACAGAGGTTTGTAAAGTTGAAGGGCAGGCTGCTACCTGCATGCTCTTCCCTTTTCCTCCTGTGTCCAGGTCATGCCTATACACTTTCCAAAAGCTGCACAAATGGAGACACCTTTCTGAGAACCTGCTTTACTGTACACTCTTCCTGGGACTCTGCCCTGAGCACAGGCTACTTTAGCACTCACTTTCCTGGACTCTACTCTGCATTGAGAACTCTTGGGGAAAAGACTACTTTTGCTTTGGCAGCCACATGTGGTAGGGCACAACCGTAATCCCAGACCTCAGGAGGCTAAAGCAAGAGGATCTTGAGTTCAAGGCTAACCATGGCTACATATCAGGTTTGACATGACAGCCTGGTTACAAAACCAAAATCCCCAAATCTCTTGGTTCTGTCAGGTGTGGAGCAGGTGTTTCCCAACTGTGGGGACAGAGCACATGTGTGTACCACTAGGTGGCGTTGTGTCCACACATTGTTTTGCAGGAATTAGGGCATCTGGGTGGATTTTTCCAGCATACTGAATTGGATGCGATTGGATGGCCTTCTCCCCTACTTCACTGTGAATAAGCCAGCTACATCACTAGTTAGGGTCAGATGATCTTTAATCTTCCCAAGCTCCATTATCCACTTCCCCCACACATCATCCAGTCAGCACAATCAACACTGTGCTGAGTGCCAGGGACACAGGTGATGATTTTGCTCTCAAAGAACCCAGTCTGGACTGGGAGTGTGGCTTAGGTGGTAGAGTGCTTGCCTAGCATGCATGAAGCCTTTGGTTTGACTCTTCAGTACTACATAAAGAGAAAAAGCTGGAAGTTGCACTGTGGCTCAAGTGGTAGAATGCTAACCTTGAGCAAAAGCAGCTCAGGGACAGTGCCTAGGCCCTGAGTTCAAGCCCCAGGACTGGCCAAAAAAAAAAAAAAAAAAAGACAAAAAATCTCGTCAGGCGCCAGTAATCCTGTAATGCTTGTAATCCTAACTACTCAGGAGGCTGAGCTCTGAGGATCATAGTTCAAAGCCAGCCCAGGCAGGAAAGCCCATGAGACTCTTATTTCCAGTAAACCACTAGAAAACTGCAAGTGGCACTGTGGCTCAAGCAGTAGAGTGCTCACCTTGAGCTGAAGAACGCAGGGACAGCACCCAAGCCCAGAGTTCAAGCCCCACAACCGACCAAAAAAAAAGTCTTTGGATAGCTCAGAGATGAATGTGTGTATTTTCAAAGTAATTAACTTTTTATTTTTATTTAATCTAAGGTTTATTGTAGGGATTGGAGCTGGAAAGGTGGCTTAGTGATAGAGTGCTTGCCTTGCATGCCTGAGCCTGGGTTTGATTCCTCAGCTCCACATAAATAGAAAAAGCGGGAAGTGGCGCTATGGCTCAAGTGATTGAGCACTAGCCTGGAGCTGAAGAGCTGAGGGACAGTGCCCAGGCCCAGAGTTCAGGCCTCACAACCAACAACAACAACAACAAAAATTACTGTAGGGGTAATGTACAGAGGGGTTATAGTTACATAAATAAGGTAATGAGTAATTTCTTTTTTTTTTGGGTCCGGTCGTGGAGCCTGAACTCTGGGCCTGGGCACTGTCCCTCAGCTCTTCAGCTCAAGGCTAGCGCTCTACCATTTGAGCCACAGCACCACTTCCGGCTTTTCTCTTTTTGCTTATGTGGTGCTGAGGAATCGAACCCAGGGCTTCAGGCATGCAAGGCAAGCGCTCTACCACTGAGCCACCTTCCCAGCCCCAAGTAATTTCTTTTTGAACAGGGTTAACCCCTAGATGTGTATATATTTTTATCTTGTAAATCTGAAAGTGGAAACCGTACAAACCAGTGGATATGAATTTACTGGACTAGATTTCACGCTCTCTCTCTTTTTTTTAACAAGTCAAAACATTATATGAGTATAAAAAGAACTATGGAAGGACTAATTACCTAATGAGCTTGTATTGGCCATACACAATAAATGACATTTTATAGGTTAAAAAAAAAAGAACCCACAGTCTTTCTGGTGGGCATGGGGTGCTTACCTGTAAGTGACTGCTCCATACTCTCCAGTTAAAGCCACTCGGCTAGCTGGGACCAGCTCCTGGCTCATTGTGCTTAAGATGGCTTCACTGGAAGAGCCAGCCTGGAACACACCCATAAGGCCCCCAGGGTTACAGAGTGGCATGCAATGGCTAGATTCAAGTCCTGCCTGTGACCTGGACCAGGACAGTGTGCCTTGGAATGGCTTTGACCTTCAAGATCAGATTACCTCTGAATCAGCAAATTAGTTCTTCCTGAGAATATGAGGTGGATGTGCTACCTGTGTCAACTCAGAGGAGCTTCTGAACATCAGACTCTTGACAACCAAGGTGCACAGAGCAGGAGAAGCCAGGCCAACACAAAACACTTCTTCCTGCCACAGATGCCTCTGGTCAATGCCAGCTCAAAAGTGACCCCCTGAGTCAGTAAGTCTCATCGTACCAGCTCCCTTTAGTACACAGGCCAGAACAGAAGGAATAACCTCTGAATTAAGTTGCATGGGACCACAGGGGAACCTTTCTCATCCCCTAAAGATGAGATTTTCCTCACTTTATTACCAATAATTCCCAGGACCTATAAAGCCTGGCCTACAACCAACAGTCCTGCCACATCTGCCATACTCATCAGTGGGAGTTTGGCCTATGGCTGGATTTTTTAGAGGCAGAGGTTGGCTGTTCATTGGGAATTAACTCAGCCTGGAGTGCAACAGTTTAACCTCACACCCAAATCCAAACAAGAAACTCTTGTTTTGCTCTTTAGTGTCCAACATATGCTCCTGTGGCCAGTCACCTTAGCCTTAAATGGATGCTTGGGCAGGAGAGAAAAAACACTAAGCTTTAGTTGGTTTTGTAAAGTCATCTTTGCAGTGGTAAGATAAAGACATTAGGCAGACAGCATTGATTTTGTGGGCATCAGGGGGATACGCCACAATCTCTCAAAGCTTTGGGTCCTTCAAGAACTAAAAGCAGGAAGATGACAGCAACTTTGGTTCTCTAAGTGGGCCTCTCCTCTCTAGGGAGACAGGCCATAGGAGGGGAGAGAAGGACAGGATGCCCATATGTCTAACCTTAAGTGCACTAGCCAACAGGTCAGAGGCCAGAGGTTAGGTTAGAATACTGTCCACAAACGGTGGCCATGTTGGAGCTTGCTGGAAAGAATCACAGACTCAGCCCACTCTTAGGGTGCTAAATGGTGAGTTGTGGTTAGAATTTGACATCTGTAGCTTCAGATGCTCACCCAAGACCATGAGAAAGCTACCCACATGGGCTCCTTTCCTGTGGAGAGCCTGCATCTTTTCCTGTGTACTTGCAGATCCACAAAGATGGACAAGGCCCCATCCATCCTTACCGAGATGTTCCACATCATCTTGATGGCCAGGGGAAAGGCAGAGGCTCCTGGAGCCCCCACCTCCCCATCTTGTGGGACCACATCTGGTTCTCTCCCTGGTAAAGGCCCAACATGCTTTGCTTTCTCCAGATACTGGGGCAATGCAGACATGGTGGCTTCATACACGGCAGCACTGCAGCCCTTGCCAATGGACTGTCCAATCAGATAGTCCTCCAGCCGGAAGCCCTGCCAGCGTCGTGTGTCCAGTGGGTCAGGCACCAGCTTGTTTCTCTGGGTAAAAATTGCCTGGGAGGAAAAAAAACGTCCTGTGAGACAAGAGCGTTATTAAGGACCTTGGGGAGACAGAGAGGCAGGGCTCCCAATGACAAGGGCAAGAGCCCATAACAGCCAACACGTTCGATCTGACTGTCCTGTCAGTCTCATTATTCAGAACAATCATTCTTTTTTTTTTGTCAGTCATGGGGCTTGAACTCTGAGCTTGGTTGCTATTCCTGCGCTCTTAAGCACAAGGTGAGTACTCTACCACTTGAGCCTCAGAGCAATCTTTTTTTTTTTTTTTCCAGTCATGGGGCCTGAACTCTGGGCCTGGGCGCTGTTCTTCAGCTCTTTAGCTGTAGACTAGCACTCTACCACTTGAGCCTCAGCCCCACTTCCAGCTTTTTCTGCTTATGTGGTGCTGAGGAATCGAATCCAGGGCCTCATGCATGCAAGGCAAGCGCTCTATCACTGAGCCACCTTCCCAGCCCCAGAACAATCATTCTTATACGCTGTTCCTTCACTGTAATCAGATAGGTCAACACTGTGCACCAGTGGGTGAGTGTGTGTATGTGCGTGCATTAGCATGCATGTGCTCATGTACATGCATGTGCACATGTAGGCCTGTGGATTTTATCCATTTTACAGAGTCATGTGATCACCACCACAATAAAGATGCAGAACTGCTCCCTCACTGCAGAACATCTTCCTCTCTCTCTACTCCTGGCCACCTCAATCTATTCTCCACTTTTTAGGCATGGAATATACACTGTATAACTTCTTGCAACTGCGCTTTTCAGGGAAGCATGAACCCTTGATGTTCATTTAGGTGGCTGCCTGTGTCTATAGTGGAATGCGTGTTTTGGAGGTGTCAAGTGAGTGAAGTCTAGCTAACAGAGTACTAATACTAGTTTCTTGGTTGTCACCACTAGAGGAAGCTAGAAGGGTACAAGGAGTAGTTTGTGCTATTTTGTGCAACTTCCTGTGATTCTATAATTATTTTTAAATGGAAAGTGAAAAAAAAAGCCAATCTTATTCTTAGTAGTATAGTACTACTGAGCAGCATCTCATTATGGATGTGCCAGAGTTTGTATAACTTGGGGCTGGGAAGGTGGCTCAGTGGTAGAGCTCTTGCCTTGCATGCTCAAGACCCTGGGTTCGATTCCTCAGCACCACATAAGCAAAAAGAAAAAAGCCGGAAGTGGCGCTGTGGCTCAAGTGGTAGAGCGCTAGCCTTGAGCTGAAGAGCTGAGGGACAGTGCCCAGGCCCAGAGTTCAGGCCCAACAACCGAACCAAAAAAAAACAAAACCAGAGTTTGTATAACTTGTACTCACTAATGATATAGGCTGATAATTAATATCTAGTATTATGAATACTGCTTGCAATCACTTGTGTAGTTTTCTAGAAAACTTATAGTTTCATTGTGGCAAATGTACATAAGTTATTTTAACCATTTTTAAATGTAGAGTTCTGTAGCAATAAGTACAATCATATCACTGTGCAACCATAACTCTCACCCATCTCCAGGACTACTTTCCTCTTGAAAAGCTAAAATTCCACATCTACTCAACAATAACTCCTCATTATTTCTCCCTCAGCCCCTGGTACCCACTGTTAGATGTTCTGTCTATGAATCTGACTACCCTATGAATCTGGCTCTTAGGAGTAGAATCATACATATTTATCTTCAGGGTTCATTGTGTCAGAATAAGTTCCTTCTTTTTGTGTGTGAGAAATTCTAGGGATGAACATGGTGTTAATTTCTCCAGGTAGTTATGCCAAGATTGCAATGACAGGGTAGTATGGTAAATGTGTGTAAGAAACTACCAAATAACCTTCCTTTTATGTTACTAGTTTCTCTGCATCATCACCAATATTTGGTATTGCCACTATTTTAGCGATTCTAATCATTGCTGTATTTGTTGTTTGTTTGGTGTGTTAGGCCTGGTGCTATTTCACTCAAGGCAAGAGGTCTGCCACTTGAGCTACAGCTTCATTTCCAGCTTTTTAGTATTTAATTGAAGCTGAGTCTTATGGGACTTTCCCTCCAGTTCTCAGATCTCAGCATCCTAAGTAGCAAGGATTACAAGCATAAGCCACAAGCTCCTGGCTCATTGCATTGTGTTTGGAATTTGCATTTCTCAAATGGCTAGTAATGCTGAACAACTCATGTTATATGGCATGTGTATCTCCTCTTCTGCAATATATATCTATGCTTTATTTTTTAGTTTTAAAGATAGGGTTTGCCTATGTAATCTAATTTGACTTTGAACTCAGGATCTTCCTGCCTTTGTCTCTAGAGGGCTGTAATTACAGGTATGTGACACCACAGAGTTCTTTTTATTTACATGGCTCAGTCTTGAATAGGCAAAAGCCAGGATTTTAAGTATAAAAGTAATGGGTAACTAATAAAAAAATTTACGACACAGGAAATGTGAGAAAAGGGTGATGAATGGTAAGCTAAGGAGGGTCAATTTTAGGAAAAAGAAGAAAAAAAGCCTCTTTAGTTTTAAGTAGGATTTGTGAAATTTCCCACCCTTAGCTTCTGCCAGTTAAGACAAGGACAGGACTGGGGACTAGGCTAGGTGTCACCAGTCACCCCAAACTAACAAGGGCTCAATTATGAAGAACAAGAGCTGGGCTGGAAACCAGGAAACATGGGAGAGGCTGCCTGTTCCTTAACCTGCCGTGTCCTTGGGCACCTCACTCCATCCTCCCACCTCAGCCCTGATCTGTAAAAAGCAGGGTGGCATTTACTCAGTAAGGATCCAAACCTAGGACAAAGTTTGACCTCTGGCATCCAACAGCCTTCAGACTTCAACCTCAGTGCTTACTCTTCCCTGGATCTGCAGACTTCCCTGCTGGCCAGTCCATGTTGAGCTAGGTCCTTAAAATAACTCTGTCTATAAATATACTCACCCTATTGGTTCTGTTTGTCTGTGTACCGTAAGTAAATGACTTTGGTAGAGCAGAAACAGAGCTCACTGAGTGAAGTATTTTAAAAAGCCTAAGTACATCTATATATCTTGTCACTAGTAATAATACTACTCAGGCTAATTAAATGTTAGTTAGATCTGCTGCTTCTTCCTGCTGATCACAGCAATGTCAAAGACTTAAACATGGAAAAACCGTGGCTCAGGTTATGGAAAGCCACATGTTAGGCATTGCCTTTTTTTAGCCGTGATTTTGGCAAATCACTTTGCCTCACTGAATGAGTCCTACTCCATAAACTGGAGATGACAGTGGCCTCAAGGGATAAGTGTATGACTACTCAAGTGTTTGATTCAGCTGTCAGTAAATTTTTAGAAAGTTTACACAGAATCTGTCAGTGTGGTGGTATATGCATAATCCAAACACTCTGGAAGTGGAGGCAGGATGACTGCAAGTTTAAAGCTAGTCTGACCTCAGTGCTGGTGGCTCATGTCTGTAATTCTATCTACTTAGAAGGCTAAGATATTAGGATTGAGATTGGAAGCTGGTCCAGGCAAGGAAGACTATGAGACTCTTATTTCTCACTCAGCAGCAAAAAGCCCGAAGTAAAGCTGTGTGGCTCAAGTGGTAGAGCACCAGCCTTAAGCAAAAGCAAAGGGCTAGCACCTAGGCCCTGTGTTCAAGTCCCGGTATCAGCTAGTCTGTGCTATATTATATAGTGAGATTCTGTCCCAAAACAAGGGGCAGGGGAGAAAGAGAAGAGAAAGGAAAGAAGGAGGAGGAAGGAGAGGAGGAGGAAGAAGAGGAGGAGGAGGAGGAGGAAGAAGAGGAGGAGGAAGAGGAGGAGGAGGAGGGAGAGGAGGGGGAGGAAGAGGAGGAGGAGGGGGGAGGGGGACGAGGGGGAGGAGGAGGAGGAAAGGAAGAAAAAGAAAATTGAGACAAAACCACTTGCCATGGTGTGCTGGAGCTATAACGAACAGCTTATCTTTCAACACATTGTGTAAGGAAGGGAGAGATTGGCATCGTATCAGGCTATTAGGAATGGTGAAATAAATCAACCTGAATTGGTGATTTCCAAGCAATGTCTAGCTCAGTCTAGAAACAGGCCTTTGCCTCCGTCCGGTTCCTTAGCTCAAGGCCCCGCCCCTTCCCGACCACGCCCCCTCGCTTCACACCCCCAGACCAGCCCGGCCGAGGACCCTTCACAACTGCGGGTCCGGCCCTGGTCACGCCTCGAGCCCCGCCCCACACTGCGCTCAGGCCTGCCCCCACGTCCCAGACAAGCGTGGCGTTCCGGGTTGCTGGGAAAAGGCAAAAGGTAATGAAGAGGCAGTGTTCCTAACTGCTTGCAGACCTCAGAACTCCGGTAGGGCCTGGAGGTAGCGGCGGGAATCGCCGGACGGCTCGCTCCGGCCCGGCCCCGCCTCCGGCGCACCCCTCCCGGGCTCAGGGTGCGTTCCCAGTCGGAGTCCGGCCGCTCAGACTCAGGACCGCTCCAGTTCCCGCCCCCGCCGAGGGCGGGGTCCGCCCACATTCTCTCCCTGGTCTCAGCCCCGCCCCTCCAGACTCAGGGCCCGCCCCCGCGTCCCAAGCTCAGAGCAAGCGGACACAACTTGTCCAGCTGCTGGCAGCTCGGTCCCCTTCGCCCCGACCCACCGTGGCCTCCCAGTCACGCCCCATTCATAGTTCAGCGAGCTCCCCCGCTTGCCTGGCTCAGGGCCAGTCCCCAGGAGCGCCCTGCATCTGGCTCCGCCCCCTCGGGTTCAGACACGCCCCCGGCCCCGCCCCGAGCTCCAGCCCGGCCCCTCCCTGCCCTCGCCCGCCCCGCCCGCGGCTCACCTGGATCTCCTGACAGGCCGCGGCGGCCCGCCGGCCCTCCGCCTGCTTCTCCTCGATGAGGCCCAGCCCCAGCCCGAAGGCCAGAAAGACGGCTCTGCCGCTAGGGCCCGCGCCCCGGACCCTCATCACGAACTGCCTCTGGAGCCGCGCCGCCAGCCCCGCCACCGACTGACGGAAGAAGCGGTAGCGGCCGGGGAGCCGCAGCCCGCCGGGCTCAGCGGAGGGTCCCGCGGCCCGGCCGGGGCGGCCTCCGCGACCCCAGCCTGCCGCCGGGCCGGGGCGCCCCCAGGCGTAGGCCAGGCCGGGCCTAGCTGTGAAGCGCAGCAGCAGCGCCCGACCCAGTTGTAGGCCCCGGCCCAGCGCCTGTCGTACCGCCATGGTGGCGACGCGACCTGGTCCCGCCGCCGCCACCAACGAAGAGCGGGACGCGCCGACCACAACAAACCTCGGGGGCGGAGCCTCCGCGCAGTCGCGCGCGATGGTGGGCGGGGCGGCGGCCGCGGCAGGTCCCCGGATGGGCGCGCGAGGGCGCTGTGCGCGCACTTGCGGTGCGCTTGGAACTCAGTTACTGAGGTTGCCGCTTCTTCCAGATGCTGGACTTAAACAGCACTGGTTCTGGAAGAAAACAATAGAGAAATCGAGCATGAAAAACAGTATTTGTCATCGATCACCATGCCATATCCTTTATGTATTTTATTTCGCTTTCCCACCAGTGACATAGGAATGCCATAGTATTTTAAATTGTTAGTATTGGGGTTTGAACTCAGGGCTTCTGGCTTGCTAGGCAGCTCAGGAATGCCACTTTAAAGATAAGAAAGTCATAGAGTGGATGCCTGTAGCTCACACCTGTAATCCTGGCTATCTAGGAGGCGGAGATTTACAGGATCATGGCTTGACACTAGCCTGGGCAGAAAAGTCCTGGAAACTCCACCTGCAAAATAGCCAGCAAAAAGCTGGCCAGGAGGTGTGGCTCAAGAGGCTCAAGCAGGTAAGCCAAGCAGGCATGAGGCCCTGAGTTCAAAATCCAGTATTGGTACCATTCCCCCCCTCAAAAAAAAAAAGTATAGAAAGATCAGTGTTCCTAGCTACTTGCAGGTGTCAGAGGTGTGGCTGAAGTGTACCTTGCCCTGTGGTTAAGCCCTTGTGTTCCTTATGCCGTCAAGTTCCTCTATAGGTCTGGGGTTGCTGGGCTTCCAAAGACTACACTTGGGTGAGTGAACTGAGGTCCAAAGTCACAGATTGTTAAGAGCTAGAGCCCTTTTACCCAAAAATCTGTTGTTGGCCATGCTGGCTGATAAAACCCTTGACATTGAGTAGTTTCTTTTTCTTGGCCTTTTTTAAAAAAAGTGAGAGCTTCCAAATTACACAGAAATTGAATGATAGTAGACTTCATGGATTGGTCATCTGCCTTCAATTATCAACAAATAGCCATTATTTTTTTTTCTCCTAAACCTTGTTCTCTGCTCCATCATTTGAAATCAAATCCAAGACATCATTTCACCTGTATATATTTCATTTGTGTGTGTATGTGAACATGCACGCACATGTGCATAGGTCAGTGTGTATGCATCAATGTGTGTGTGCTGGATGGAACCCAGGGCCTCATACAGGTATGCACTCTGTCACTGAGCACACCCCACCCCCTTTCAGGTTCTGCTTAATTTTTGCTTTTGTGGTTTTGTGACACGGTCTGACTGTGTAGCCCAGGCTTGTCTCAAACTCACCATCCTCCTGCCTCAGCTTGCCAAGTGCTAGGATTACAGGTACCATGCCCAGCTCTGGAGAACTTAAAAAAAATAATTGCTTTCACTTCTAAAAAAATTGTTTTGTATTAGTTATTTGGGAATCTTAACAAAGGGTATACGATTTAATTATTTGGCTGTTTATTATAGCTGGGTGCCAGTGGCTCATGCCTGTAATCCTAGTCATCAGGCTGAGATGTGAGTATAGTGGTTCAAAGCCACTCCAGGCAGGAAAGTCCATGAGACTTTTTTTTTTTACATTTTATTATTATTATGGACTTTTTTTTTACATTTTATTATTATTATTATTTTAATTCTGAAAATACCGTACAGAGGGGTTACAATTACATGGGCAAGATAATGAGTGCATTTCTTTTTCTTTTTTTTTTTGTCAGTCGTGGGACTTGAACTCTGGGCTTGGGTGCTGTCCCTGTGCTCTTCAGCTCTTCAGCGAGCGCTCTGCCGCTTGAGCCACAGTGCCACTTCCAGCACTTCCAGTTTTCTAGTGGCTTATTGGAGATAAGAGTCTCATGGACTTTCCTGAAACCCAGGCTGGCTTTGAACTGTGATCCTCAGATCTCAGTCTCCTGAGTAGCTAGGATTACAGGCGTGAGCCACTGGGGCCCGGCATGTTTTCAAGCATTGTTGCCTCCTCCTTTGTTTCCCCTTACCATCCCTTCCATGAGGCTCTTATCTCTAATTAACTCCCAGAAAATTGGAAGTGGTGTTGTAGCTCAAAGTGATAGAGTACTAGCCTTGAGCACAGAAGCTCAGAGACAGCACCCAGGCCCTGAGTCCAAGCCCCACAACCCACAAAAAGATAAAAATTACGATGGTATTGGTGGTGGATGCATGACTTTAGTGGTTAGAGTATTTGACTAGCAAGCATGGGATCCTGAGGTCAATGCCCAGTGCCATCAAAAATTATACTCACATACTTAAGGTAGTACATAAACACACATGCATATGGAATATATATATATATATATATATATATATATATATTATTCACCCACTAGATAACCCTTTTCTTTCCTTGTAAAATTTGAGTTTTATAAGGACAGAGATAGTAAGTTTCCCAGCACCCAACACAAGGGTCTACAAGGTCTCTGGTCCTTGTCTGAGAGCCTTCTGGAAATACTAGCCCTCAGTGGGCAAGCTCATGTCCAAGGGTAAGCTGTGAGGAAAGGGCTGTGCCTAGTCACATTAGTTGCTCTTCTAGGGAGGCTTGGGACTGGCTGCAGAAAGATGGAGGAAGCATCTGGAAGGTTGATATATATATTTAGTCAGTCGTGGGGCCTGAACTCTGGGCCTGGGAGCTGTCCCTTAGCTCTTCAGCTCAAGGCTAGTGCTCTACCACTTGAGCCACAGCACCACTTCTGGATTT